TTTAATAATTATTTTACAAGTTTAGGGACCCGTTTTTGCATTATCTAGTCCGTCATATTTTCTTCAGTATATTCAGTTTAACTGGAAGTTTTTATATTTTCCAATTCTGTATGATCAATATTCTGTTTCAAAATCATAATTGTATTTATGAAAATTTAAAAAAAAAAATGCTGTTTGCTAATGATCACACTTTTTAATTATTCTCATGTTCAGTGACTGTCCAATTTTGAAGGATACCAGACTGCTCACTAATATCGGACTGCCACAGGTAAAATTTTAGACTGCAAGAACAAAGGAACGGCATCACAGCAATGTTTTAAAAGTATGATCAAATTTTAAAACCGATACATGCTACTAACAAATAATTTTATGTTACAGTGGTTTCAACAGTCTCGTTAAATGTCAGTATTTTTGCAAATTCTAAATGGTAGTAATAATGACCTCGTTTGCAAATACAACCTATCTTGGGTTGAATTGTGACTGACATGTTTTCCCGCCGAAAGTCAATATCTTGATTTTGTAATTTTCTACGCACCTATCAATTAACTTTTAAAAGTTTTCTCCTCATTATGGTTGACGGTGGATGGTCTCATTTGTTAGGATATTGTTTCCAAACTCAGTAATTTATGACTACGCATCGGACTCGAGGCGCGTGTGACGACTACTGTATAAGGGATGCTTACTCCAGCTAGACGCTTGATCCCATCTCTGATATGTCCATCGGTCTGTGTTTGTTAATAGGGCATGATCTTGAGGGAAAGAGGGAGAGAAAAAAAAATAAGGGATATTTCTAGACCCCAAACCCCCGAAAAAAATGCTGATCATGTTTATTGTGTTTCTACTCTTTATTAGTCCCCTACCGGTGAAACCGGAGGGGACTATAGGTTTCCTCTGAGTCTGTCCGTCCGTCTGTCTGTCTGTCCGTCTGTCTGTCCGTCTGTCTGTCCGTCTGTCCCTCTGTCTGTCTGTCAGTCTGTCCCACTTGGTTTTCCGCACTTTTTCCCTAAACGCTTGCAGATATTGAGCTGATTTTTGGTATGTGAGTGTATCTTGATGAGTTACAGACCAAGTTTGCATTTCGTTCCGCTTCATTGATTTTTGACGGAATTACGGCCTTTTCAATTTTTACGGGTTTTCCGCAATTTTCTTCTAAACGCTTGTAGATATTGAGCTGATTTTTGGTATGTGGCTTTACCTTGATTAGTTATAGATCAAGTTTGCATGCATTTCGTCCCGCTTCATTAATTTTTGACGGAATTATGGCATTTTCAATTCTTAACGGGAACGGAACCAGATTACACTTGCCGGTAGGGAACTAGTATTGCTAATGCAATACTCTTAGAATGCTTGTTTGTTTTGTTTGTTTGTTTGTTTTTTTGTTTTGTTTTGTTTTAGTATTTTTTTTTTTTTTTTTTTTTTTTGCTTTTTGTTTTTTGTTTTTTGTTTTTGTTTTTCTCTGAGATAAAAAAAAATTGAAGTGGTATTTAAGGTCAGACGACACGTTCCTCAATAATATATAATTTTCCCAAGAATAAGTATGTGTGCATTACTACGAGGCGCCGTTTTAGTATTTAATGCCATTTCGTGATATCACCTATACGAATAGGTGATACACATGTACCACTCTTTCATATTGAATAGGTGACATCACTTATTCGAATTAATTTTTGAGTTAGTGATATAACCTATTCGAAATAAATAGGGGATGTTACCTATTCGAAAAGACACTACCACCTATTCGATTTGAATTAGTAATATCACCTATTTGAATAAGCAATCTGATTAAAAATCGGATCTTTGTTACGCTCCGAAATTCTGATGGTCGCTGTACAAATCCATCAGAGTTCGGAGCGTAACAAAGGTCTGATTTTAATCAGATAGTTGAATAAGTGATATCTCTTATTCGAATTGGTGAAATAACCTTTTCGTTTTGAATTGGTGATATCACTTATTCGAATTTAAAAGGCTTTCTAAGAACAAGTTTATTTTCTTAGCACTGATTCAAAATCAAGATCTTGATTTCGTTACTTTTAAACAAAGTTTTTAAAATAAAGATGATAAAAGATTCTCTGGAGTTGTTAAACTTAATAATGAGCCACATCCTCTACTATTTCTGATTAGAAAGCAGAAGGATAACAATTATTTTTTATATACATGTATTACAAAGAAATGCAAAAAAACAGATATTCGAGGAATATATATCGTCTGATCTTAAATGGAAAAAGAGTATACTATGATCTTTGTCTGTAGACTTCTCTAAATTTCGAGGGAAATTGTGTGTTGGGTGCGATGTCATCCCCTAGCTCTCCCATTTAAAACACACGAGAACTTATTTCTGAAACAATTCATTTTTTTTAAACAGAGACAATACATGCAAAAATAATTGTTAATTATTTATGTTTCTGGTTTAAAGTAATGCCGCTAGATATAGTTTATTTAATATTTGAAAGGTATGACTTCACCAGACCCACCAAAATGGTACTCGTGCCCATTTTGGGGACAATCATTTGATTCTGAAAGGAGGGCTGACAGATTTCACAAATAAATAATCTGTCGTCAAAAATGTTGAGAATAAAGAATCTGTCTTCCTCTGATAAGAAAATAAATATTCTGTCCTGCGAGGAAATGGAAATTGAAATATAAGATACCACAGAGTCTGACACATCTGTTTCATATTTGGATGTTTTACTTGAAAAAGAATATAATGGTTACCTAACAACAACGCTTCATGATAAAAGTGATGACTTCAATTTTACCATCGTCAACTTCCCTTACTTATGTAGCAAGATACCCTTATCACCTTCATATGGGGGTTTTGTCTCGCAGTTGATTCGATACGCAAGAACATGCTCTACGTATGAACAATTTCTAAAACGAGGCAAGTTATTGACAAACAATTTGATGAAACAAAGATATCAACAGTTTCGTTTGTGAAGTCATCATTTCGCAAGTTTAACGGTCGATACAATAACCTATCATTAAGTCAAATGCTGACAGATCCTTTTATACTAATTGTTAGGCCATTATTTACACACTGAATTGTCTACGGATTTTTCCGTTTTTCCAGATGATGACAAGGAGCACACGGCGGGTGTGACCGGTCGGCAGGGGATGCTCACTCCTTCGTGCCACCTGATCCCACCTCTGAAGTCCATGTTGCTCTGCTCCCGATTTATATTGTTTACAAAGGCAGATCCAGCGCCGGCGTTTTTATTATCCTAAAATCAAGGGGAAACACCTCTGATTTGTTAGAATTCGTCAGTTTCAGCGGGCTTCGCCCCCGGACTCCAACTAGGGCTTTGCCCTGGACCCGCTGGGGGCTTCAATGCAGCCCCCAGACCCCTTGCCTTCTACTGCAGCCCCTCCCCCCGTTATGAAATTCCTGGATCTGCCTCTGGTTTAAATGTACTTTTAGCTTGTATACTGTTCGTTATCTCCATATTTCATTTTATCTCATTCCCCCCTTTTTTTAACAATAAGTTTGATCAAAACAAAATCTGCACAATCTATTTATTGCCAATGATTTGTCTGGCATTGGAACCGAGTGGCGGATCTAAAATTTACGAAAGCGTATTAGTGCCAAGTAATATGTGTTTTTGTTTTTTTAAGTTGGAATTTCCAACTTACAGTTGGCTTTTCCGACTTAAAGTTGACTTTTCAAACATTGAAGTTGGCTTTTCTAACTTAAAAGTTGATAATTCTAACTTCAATCTTGGTTTTTCCAACTTTAATCTTCTTTTTTTCCAACTTTTCCTCAGCGGGAGTGACCGATCGACAGGGGATGCTTACTCCTCCATGGCACCTGATCCCACCCCTACTTATACTTTATATGATATAAATGGACTTTTAATAGTGATTCTGTTCGAATTATCTTAAATTCACATTTCATCAACAATATTTATATAAACACAGTTACCAATTTTCAGCTCACAACTTAATTGGAATATTAAGATCAGATGATACCCTAGTTAGATTAATCTAACTGTGTCTCGGGACAAGCCCTCACCACAGTTAGAATACGTCCCATATACTTGCAATGTAGCAAATCGGAGTGGATCCACTCCAAAATGATTTTGAATTTAATACAAAAGGAAATTACCAAATTAATCATAACAAACCTTTTTGAGATGGTATATGTGATAATGTCTTTTAACCTAAAAAATAATCCATATAAATACGAAAACTCAACTCATTTTCTTAACGTTTTTTCCTCGCTTCAAATTTAACGCCATGTTGACATTCGGAACTGTCCGGATTGTTCATAGAAAATGCACAGAGTACGAGTTATCGCCCGTGTTTATTTTGCAACATTGCCAATACACGGAACGAATTCTATCGTTAAACCGGGTCTGTAGGACAATATCATTTTAACGATAGAACGTTCTATCTAGTGATACCCAAAAGCCAGGGTTATTATCCTAGGTTCTCAGGCCTGTAGAAACGCGGGGGGGGGGGGCTTTTTCAGAAGTATAGTTTTTGCTATAATAAAGTTTTCTTTAGATGCTGCCCCCCCCCCCCCACTTATTGATGTTGTTAGGTTGAGCACAGACAAATTCCAGAATTTGGTCAATAGTTTAGTTTTTTCTTGTCAGATAATTTTTAGACCCCCCCCCCCACTTTTGGTCAGTGTATTTTTTTTCTTTTCTTTTTTTGCTTGTCAATTTTTTTTGTTGCCCCCCCCCCCCCACTTTTGAAACCTAGCTTGTATTTCGTTGTTTTTACATTCAAATTGAGTTGTTACATAGCATTATATAAGGAGTAAATTTGCATTTATGTAGAATTTCATGTTTTTCATGCTCAATATAGATATAAAGAAAATATTTTGGAGAATGCAAAATAAGACTGGTTTGCTTAAAAAAAAATCGTGAGAAATATGTGCTTTAGCAATATTAAAATCTGTACTAACTGTTTTCTATCAAAAAAACTTATTCATATCACATTTTTTTAGCATTCCATGTTCTTATCATCACTCTATATAATTATGTTTTCTTCCAAATAAGATGTACCGCACTGATCACCATACTTATTATTTGATCTCGCCGTATCTCGTTGTTATTATTGACTTTTAGCGGATGTCACGTGACAGGTGCGAGATTTTCGAGTTGACAACTGCAAGTTCCATGCCGATAGATGGATGAGAAGTCGCAGGGATTTTTCTGATTTTTGATGTATGTAGAGTTGTTCGATGAGTGGTTTGAAAGAAATTAAACAGAATTTTTACAAATGTGATACCGTGCAGGAAATATATTTGGTGATACCAATGTTAGTTTCAGTATACATTGTCAAAGAAAGAAAAAGAAACATGATGTTGCACTTTACTATACTACGTAGTTTCCTATGAATGTTCTTGAAGAAATTTATTTTGGACAGTAAGAACACTAAGGCGATTTTGACTCTTTATGAAAAGAATCATAAAACGAAAATTCCGTGCATCGTGTAAATACAGTTTTGTGTGCTTGCAAAACGGTAAATAGCAATATGCATGAAGATGTATGGGCAGAATTTACATTGTTATTAGAAACAGGTCTCAGCAGAAAATAAGTTTAGCTAAGTGTATATGTAAAGAAGAAATGATTGATAATTAATTTAAGGTCTCTTAGCTGGAGTTCTGTAGCTTAACTGTCAGAAATTTGTGTCATGAATGATCAGAAAGTTTCATTGCCACCTTCGCATAAAGTTTAATTTAGACACATGAGTGTGTTCAGTTTGAAACTGTCACAAGCATACCTAGAGATGTATTGGCATACATATATATACTTTATATGCATTGATGATGTTTAGTAAGTACATGTAGTAACATTAAGTGTGGATGCATGACACTACCACGGCTGTGTTCTCCTTTTTAAAGCTTAAATCATTATAGCATTCAGACTTTCAAAAAAAAAAAAAGAATCATGCAGCTTACACCTCAATTTTGAGTAGCCAGTCAGTTCAGTATCATTTTTAACATCGGTCTAATGCATGCATGGTAAGTAAGTCTTCATGTGTTTTAGTAGTTTTAAAGTTTTGAGCAGTTTTTCTTCATTGACTGATAAATCAGAAGTTGGGAAAAATGAGTCAGTTAACGTAAACATAAAGTCACTTTTAAGTATTGAATAAGACTGATTATGGAATGATTTTAGCCATTGGTGGGCCACACAATGATATTTATAGATATCCAACTTGTACATGTGAATTTCCAGCTATTATATTGTCTTTCTCAGTACCTGTGGTCAGATGATATCAGGGACATTGGTATATTTGTCTCTGATGATATGTAACAATTGATGAATCAATATTTCATTCTAATTATTTTTTTTTCATTCATGTAATACAGAAAGTCCATGGGGATTTAATCAATGGCTGAATCACAATCCAGAAAAGACCAGCACACAACATCTGATGGCATCCACTTCATGGATAGAAGCAGAAGACCAATGGGAGATGACCTGAATAATACAAGTCCCATGTACAGCACCTGGACCCAATTCAGCGGTATGCCAACACAAACCATGACAGACACTACAGCACCTCAGATCCATTGGGATACATTTAGTCCCTCAAGCAGTCCTTCTTTTGATCCAGTTTATACTAACCTGGATCCAAATGCAGAGTATCTCAGCCAAATTTTGACCAACATCAGGAACAACCCCAGTGGAATTGAGACAGACCCCCGGTTGGCTGATCATAGTTTACATGGGAGTTCAAGCTTTCATGAGGCAGGTTTGGAAGGACAGTCCATGTATGCTGAAACCCTGAATAGCTGGAATAATGTGAACAACTATGATCCTTTTGGAACAGGCGATGTGTTGAAAACCTCTCAAGAAACTGCTGAAAATGCTCAGATTAGATCCAAACCCTCGTACTCAGATATTGCTAAGTCTCTCAAATCTAAACCAATTCAGAGCAAAGAGAAGGAGGAAGTTGACACTTCAAAGAAGAAAAGCACTGAGGCTCCTGTTGGAAAGCATTACAAAGGGTTTGGTCGTAGAGGTTCCCATTTACAGAAACAACATTCTAAGGGACATTCTACTGTAGCTGATGACATGGAATCCAAAGTGAAACCAAATTCTAAATATGGTTTGGACAATTTTGATGATGTAGGTAATAATGAGGCAGGTAATCTCAAAAGTGAAAGTCTTGAGAGCATTCCTGTGTTGTCAAGAAAAGGTAGCACTAGCAGTGTCAGTAGTGGTACTAGTGGAATAGAAGAAATTCATCTATCGAAAGGACCCACTGTAGGAAGTAAGAAAGACAACTCTACACTGAAGTCCAAAGTGGAGGGGAAGCAAGAAAAAGCACAGCAGTCAAAACCTGCTGAAAAACCTTTCTTTGATCCAAGAAGAATTTTTCAACAGAACAAGTCTTCGAAAGATGCTTCAAAGAGCTCAATGGATACTACAGTCTTAAATAATGGTAAACCTGTGGGAAGATCAAAATCAACTTCAGAAAATCACCGAAAGTCCTCAGATTACATTAATAATGACCTCAGAGATGCCAAGAAAAGAACAAACCAGCCCAGCTCAAACAAAGAGGCAGAGAAAAAAGAGAATTCTTCTATTAGTGCAGTGAAGACTGACAAGAAACAGAAAAATAGTTCAGTCCAGACTGATCTACACATGACAAAGAGAAGGTGTAAGAACACCAGAAATTCTCAGCACCAGTACTCATTTGATCAGGAGTATATAGGTAAGGTATTACTTGGCTTACAGGGTTAGAAACTCCCTAAAATTACAACTCGCAAATAATTGCGAGTACCAAGAAAGTGAACTCGCAATTTTGTAAAACTACTCGCAATTTCCATATAAAGTAAAATTTATATAAATTAAATACATGTAACATAAGGAAAAAGTAACTACTGTACAATGCACAAAATACAACTACAGTGTGATTTTTAGTTAAATTACTGAATTTAAATCAAAAGCAATTTATTCTGTCATAATATATATTTTTGATAGTTTCAATGCAAAAAAAAATCAACTCGCAACTTCTTGCGAGTTACCTAATTTTTAACTCGCAATTTGGGAATTCTAACTCGCGTTTTGCGAGTTGTATATAGTGAATTTCGAACCCTGGCTTACTCTGAAACATTTAACTAATGTAGTCATTTGTTATCAGTGACCATGTACAGTTAAACTTTGTTATCTCGAAGTTGACGGGACCGCTGATGAACTTCGAGATATCCGGGGGTTCGACATATCGAGGGTTATAATTCAAATGAACTTCAAATAAACTTAGTGCAGTGAACATGTACTTATTAGTAAAGACATGTCAAAATCCTTCTTGTTTGAAATTCTTTATAAGATTTCTTTAATATACATGTACATGTATCTAGCAATCAAAAAAATTTACATCCTCTTTATAATTCACAAATTAAAAGCTTTGTATAATATGCACAGAAGTATAATCCAACGCGGAAAGTCAACCGCTAGCATCGTTTCCCATGTATACATAATCGGATATCGTCTATGCATTGTAAATTTAAAACCGGTCGCTGTCAGAATAACGAAAACGAAATATACATTTCTTTTATTGGAAAAACATGTTCATACATGTAAAATCAGTTAAAAGAAAATTATATTACCATAATAAAATCAAACACAAAAGAAAAATCACGCACTTTTGTCTAACAACAGAACAACACTGAATCACAGGGCACTACAGCACACGTTTTTACTGCGACACATGCTCACATGATGGTGTGTACGAACGATTGTAATTTCTGCACGCTCATATAGGGAAAATAAATTCTAATTGCATTAAATTACAGAATTTTGTTTTACTTCGATGTTTATAATTTTCACTTTCATATGCATAAACTATGTATGCGTGCATATTTCACATAGCATTAAATAGCGATTAATTATCAAGATAAACGTACCCAAGCCACAAAACAATGAACGTGTCATCCATGCGTATGCATTAGACTAATACACACAACCTTTGGCTTGCATAATTACAATCAAGGTAAGCCATACATACACTTCATATAATTATCGCGCTATTATCTGTTGATCACAGGAACACAGGTAACCCGAGCGTGACAGACAGGTGGGTGTTATCAATAGAGCATTCAGTTTACCTAACGGACTTGATCATCAGAGCGGAAAATTATCCTGACTTCGAGATAACACATGTGATTTTAATGAATGGGTACACAATTTTACTTCGAGATAACCGGGGTGTTCGACATTACCGTGTTCGACATAGAGGGGTTTATTTTAATCATTTATAAAGCAAATTTCGTCGGGACCGCGGCCTTACTTCGACATATCTGGGGTATTCGAGATATCCGTGTTCGAGATTTCGAAGTTTAGCTGTATATGCATAAGGTCACACAAGTTTCATTGACTATGTTTTACTATTAGAAAAATTGTGTTAATTTTAAATTCTCAAAAGCAACAAAATGGTAATAATGTTCTTATTAGTCTAATTTTTTTTTTTTTTTTTTTTTGCATTCCCTGCAGCCATTATTTTAGGAGAAAGTTGGAAAGAGAAAAAATGCTTTTAACATCCTCATCTCAGTCACATAGGTGACATATTCTATCTGTTTTGTATGCTATCATGCATATTCTGTGTTGGATTATGCATTGTGCAACAGTCATAAACTTTTGAACATTTTTTTAAACATCTTCTCTGGGAACATACTGGAACAGCTGAACCAATTAAAACCATTTTTGATATATTATTAGCATCTATGGGTAAATGGAAACAAAAATTGTAAATGTCATGGTCTCTGCCTCCCTGGGGCCATGCAATCTTCTCAGAAATCTTCATCCTTTCTCTTGGACATCTTGCAGTCAAACTGTTCAAGATGGGTCTTAATTTATCATATACTGAAAATGCATTATATCTTGCACAATTTCCCTCTTAACTCATGGACATTTGGCAGGCATTTTTTTTCCTTTTGTTTTTGTTTTTTTTTTTTTTTTGCATGATTAATGATTTAATACTCAACCTTTTACAGAGATTTTGAAATTCATGGCACCATGGTTCATACTAGGGCAATTATAAACTCTACCAAAATTATAAGAAACTTGCTTTCTCAGTCCAATGGTCAACTGAAGTTGGTCATTTATTTACAGTCTTCTTCTTTACTCATGGAAACCTAGCAGATAAACTGTTTGTATGATTCTAATAAGCCCAAATCCCTCTACCAAAGTTACGTTCAGTGATCAGGCCCCTGCAAGGTTAAGCTAACTTCCTCATACATGTTTATTGAAAATTATTATAGAGTGTATCTTTAATACATTTTTTACTCCCAAACTTCTACCAGACAAGCTGCATAAATATAATAATGAGTAATGACTATATACATGATATATAGCCCTCAACAAACTGTGCAAGTTATGTCACATTAGACCAGAATTCAAGCTCCAAATGAGGCTATTGTGGTCATAGCCTGAGGACTCGTGAAAGTCAGGTTACAGTCAAGGCCCATGGGCCTCTTGTTATTCTTATCATGTATTCTGTGTTGATAAATTTTGCATATATGTATTATTTGATTGACAGTGACATGTGGGTGGCAAAAGTTAAAATCAATTCAGAAACATGTGTTTCCAGTTTGTATCGTAATATAATTATCAGTATTACAAAGTAAGTACGTAAGGAGATATTAACCTTTCTGGTGACTGATAAGCTATTATTCAATAAGCACTATCTTCACAGGAATAAATCTTTATGAAAAACAAATGATGTTATACATCAATTGTGATTTTGTTTTTTCTTGTCAAAAGTAAATTCATGTTTCTCCAACTCTTTCACAAAGTGACAAAGTATTTTATGCACTATGTTTTTCGGATTGAACATGGTCAGCATTTTTGATCATATGTATGTATAGGATCCATTTTCAGAACAATGCAAGATTAGGCACATTTTTGCAAAATGCCACAGTATCCTTAATTTAAGAAAGTTCTCATGGTAGTGTGTGAAATTATGTTTATCAGAAGAAAAAAAAATGCACTCTAGAAGTTTTATCAATTGTTAATGCAGATATGGTAACATTATGTCTCAGGGAAGTTTTATCTATATGCATGTGTATAGGAAGTCGTGCTAGTCTAGTGTTATCACACAGCTGGCCAACATTTTGCATGGTGTATTATGACTGGAAAATGTTCATTTATTTCAGACGAGTGGGTAACTTACATACTGGAGAAAACTAAGTCAGGGATAGCCTATCTGTGGTCGGCCCTTGTTACTTGTCTACTACTACTTCTAGGGATAGTGGTGTATTTGTAAGTATTAACAAGATCCTTAAATACTCAACCATTAGAAACATTCCAAAGTGAAAGTAAACCTAATTTTCACATCTATTTGTTCTTTAATACTCATCAACCTTAATGATTTTTAAAAAAATGCGTATTTATCACACAGACAAGTATATACTTTACTTTGGCTTTTTAATTAATACTTGATTAAGAAAATGTAGTGTATCCAGTGTTTTAGCCATGCAGTAGTACATTTACTTCACTTTGAGATTGAGTTGTTGATATCTATTAAGTAACTTGTCAAGTTTTATTTAGGGGCATGATACATGTATAAGAATCCTGCAATACAATACATATTTCACAATACAGTGGTTGCAATGCAATAGATATTACAATATTTTTTAAAGTACAAACTTCAAGATTAATGCCAAACTGAATTTAATTACTGAAATATATAGGATATTGTCCAAACCCTTGTGTTTTCATTGCAGAATTGATCATGACAAGTACATGAAATGCATGCAAATATTGCAGATTTTTTCATTTCTTTATATTGAACTGTAAGTTATTTTTTGTATATTTTTTCCAGAGTGACATTTTGTGTTCACATCATAACATGGACTTGGGGCAAAGTCTCAATGGTTGTCAAGACAAAGTTATTCAAAAAATATTTTGATAAATATTCTACTTCAACCCAAGAGTCAGGGTCAAGAATAGGACTTGAAGCAAATATAGAACTTCCTGCAACAGGTACAATAGTGTTTACTCTATTTATTTAACCAAAAGAAAATATATATATATATTTTAAGGGTGGGTGGTTCGTCGGCAAATTTTAGTACGTAGCTCAAATTTTTCTTCCTTGATAAGAAAAAGTTCAAACTTAATCAAAACCACGAACTTCAACAAACCACTAATTCAATGAGAAAAATGCCTGTGTAAGGAAATTTAAGAGTTGAGAAGGTTGCGGTTGCTAATTTTACTATGCACTGTTTATGTATGTCTCCTGATGGGGAGGAGACATATATTTACTGTGATTGTCTGTTTTTTCACCTGTCAATTCTGCATGTAACAAATTGTGTCTTAGATATAATTTTTATTATAGCCCCAAATGAAGTTTGGGGGATACATATATAAGAATCACCTTGTCTGTCTGTCCATGTAATTGTGTCAGGGGTATAATTTTGTAATGGAGAAACATTGGAAGCTCATAAATGACACAAAGATTGCCTTTGATTTTAGGATCTTTCATGACCTTCACCAAAGGTCATACCAGCAAGTTCAAGATCACTGGCTGAGAAAGTGTAAAATTTGTGTCCAGTTAATTACTGTCTAATGAAAAAACATTGGAAGTTGATATGTGAAACAAAGATTGCTTTTGAATGACTTAAGTGTGTGTCATGATCATGTTCCAAGGTCTTTTTGGCAATTTCAGGGTCACTGGCAGAAAAAAAATGTTAAATTTGTGTCTGGTCCATAAGTTCCCCATTGAGAAATACTGGAAGTTCAAACTTCACAAAAATATTACTTGTGTCTTGAAGGTGTGTCATGACCTTAATCAAGGTCATTTGGCAAGTTGAAGGTCACTTTAATAAGATATACTTGGACACTTAAGAAAAAAAATAAAGTAGGGTAGGATGGAGCCACAGTGAGGGTCCTACATTAACGTTACTTGTCAACACTGACATTGAAATTTACTTCTCCGAACATAACTTTACTTGATCAAAAATATTTCAATGAAGAACTATTTGACAACTGAAAAATTTTGTAAATTAAAAAAAGAGTCTATAATTTATTCGCTGAGACTGTTTTATGAGTTCATGACACATATTGGATATTATGAAATTTAATTGTAGCATCCTCTCCTTTTTCATCTTCAATTTAAAAACAAAAGAAAATTACTCACTGAAAAATCACTTGTCTAATCAGACAAGTGCCCAGCAATATTTACTTGTCTGTGAAAATTTTCATTGGTAGCAGACAAGCAAACAATTGTTAATGTCGAGCCCTGAAATAGGGAATCATATTTATACATGGGACTATTTAAGACATTTTATTTTTTTTAAAATCTTCTCAAGGACCACAATAGAACCCCCAAGTTGTGTGAATTCATTTTTTTTAGCCCACCAGAGCTGAAAGCTCAAGCGAGCTTTTCTGATCACATTTTGTCTATCGTCTATTTGTCCATTCATCTGTAAACTTTTCACATTTTCAACTTCTTCTGTAGTACCACTATGCCAATTTCAACCAAACTTGCCACAAAGCATTCTTGGGTGAAGGGGGTTCACTTTTATTCAAATTAAGGGCCACTACCTCTTTCAAGGAGAGATAATTAAGAATTTTAAAAAAAATGGTGGCATCTTATAAAAATGTCCTTCTAAAGAACCACTGGGCCAAAAGAGTTGAAACTTATGTGAAACCTTCATTCTTTGTTCAAATTATGACCCCTGGGGATAGGATGGAGCCACAATGGGAGATCAAAGTTTTACATAGGAATATACAGGAAAAAAATCTTTAAAATCTTCTTCTCAAGAACAACAAAGCCATGATTAGTCATATTGATATTGGAAGCATCCTCAGGTAGTGTAGATTCTAGTTAGTTCAAATGACGACTCCCAGAGGTTGTATGGAGCTACAATGGGGGATCAAAGTTTAATATAGAAATATATAGGAAAAAATCTTCAGAAGTGTTCTTCTGAAGAACAGCAGACCATGATTAGTCATATTGATATGGAAACATCCACAAGTAATGTACTAGATTCTGGTAAGTTCAAATCATGACCCCGGAGACTGTGTGGGGCTACATCTTTAAAAATCTTCTTCTCAAGAACAGCAAAGCCATGAGTAGTCAGCATCCTCAGTTACTGTAGATTCTAGTTTGATCAAATCATGGCACCTGGGGGTAGGGTGGGGTCACAATCGAGATACAATGTAATATGTATAAATTGTTTTATTATCATATGATGTTTTCCTTCTCTTTGCAATTTTTTCTAAAAACATAATAATTGATATGCAGAATTTCAGTATAAAATGTACATGTACATTTTCTCTCTATTTCATGTAGGTGAAGAGGCTATGCAACGGCTTCTAGCTTGTAAGGGAAAAGACCCATATAGGTAAACACAAGACATCGTTATGATCCTTTTTAAATTAGTTAACCTGTAAAATTGAGATTTTTAATTTATGCTGTATTTTAATTTGTCAGCAGCTTATTATCATAGATCTTTGTAAAAAGAAAATGAAATGTTCAGTTTACTGTGAAGGATGAAGACAAAGATAGGATGAGCAAACTCATTCCATTTCACTGTACATAATGATTATGATAAGAAATTTATGATTTATTAATTTAACTCAAAAAAATACATACACATAGTTGTAATGTAGAATAATATTTTTGTTGGTGTTTTATGACAGCATTTTAGGATTAAGATATGAGGTTACTGATGAAGAAATAAAGAGATATTATAAGAAGCAAGCTGTGCTAGTCCATCCAGACAAGGTAGGTTATGATATATAATAATCCATGGAACAATTGTCCAGAATGTAGTGGTACATGTACCTATTCATTAGAGGTCAGAATAATGGTATTTTAATGAATTCTTCTTTTTCCTTGTAGAATACTCAGCCGGGTGCTGAGGAGGCCTTTAAGATTTTGGGACATGCCTTTGAATTGATAGGTGAACCGGTAAGTTTGGATTAAGTGTATATATTTGACACCCTACATGTACCTTCAATGGATCAATCAATATTCATAAATCTTTCCTCATTATAATTTGAAAAGCTTAAGCTTGTGAAAAATTCAAAATAAAGTGTCATGAATTGTGTGATTCCAGGAACAACGTAGAAAGTACAATTGTCAAATGGAGGAAGCAACTCAAGCTGAAGCAGCCATGGTAAAAAGGTTTTTTTATCCATAAATTGAATAATTTTAAATACTTTCTATAGTGAACATTGCCTAAGTTATATCCCTTTCATAATATTTCAATGTTGAAGGTCTTAACAGAAAATCAGGGGCAGTGCTTAGTTTTTGTGATGTAAACAGATATGAAATATATATTACATATTGCCAGCTTATTTGGTCAGATGAAAAAAAACAGGGAGAGATTAAAGTCTTTTTAATTTGATGTAATTTGGCGAACAAATTAGTTGTGTATTATATAAAGTAGTTAATTTTGGATGCAATAACCTTAATTTATAGATTAACACACTTTTTTTTTTGTTCCTCTTTAAAATCTCGTGAACTTGAAATATTTAGCATCCGCTAAATTTTATTTTCTAAAATTTCTGGGGTCATGTCTATGGCTTTTTGACCTTCAGTGCAGGAGAGTGCTCTATTTGCGATAGCAGAGTACTATACATATAGTAGAATGTATGGATTTGAGGGTGTAGGTGATTCAACTGTAGAGTTATTATTATAAATATGGTTCTATAAGTCACTATCTGCTTTATGACAAACTATAGGACCAGGTGCAGCTATTGTCAGTTAGTGACCATTTACACACTTGTCATCTACTGATTAAAAAGTGCTTCTGCTCAAGGAATCTGATTTGCTCAATTTAACATTTTATAAAAAAAATTATTTATCTTAGTGTCCTCTGAGTTGATCTAACATTCATTGTTTTGCTGTGACTGACAAATGATCATTTTGTATTTTTCTTTCCAGAGAGAATTTAATGACCTACTTGCAAATCTCCACGACAAGATTCAAGAGGTAGGAATTGCATCATAATTACCTAAGCTGTTTCTTAAGAGACTTGAAAACTTTATATATATGTACTTGCATAATAGAGCCTGGTAAAACAACTCACAGATTAAATTTAAAATCTGAGATAAACTTGTGTCCAAAAGCTCAGTTTGAAATTGTAGGCAGCCAATCTGATGCGTTGTGATAATTGTGGAGGGAAACACAAGAGAACGCCTACTGACAGACCCTGGTACAGCTCTCGCTTCTGTAAACGGTGCAATATACGACATTCTGCCAAAGAGGTTAGGATATAACCTACTAGCTACATATGTCAGCTTTTAAATTTAATGTTTTCAGACAATCATTGAAGTTCAATTTTTGATTGCTGATTTTCATAATTTACCAATGAAATAAATTATCTGTACTCATCAGTAAATATTTTTAGCTCACCTGAGCTAAAGACCTAATTTGTCTGTTGTCTGTCATCATTGTTGTTGGTGGCACTGTCATTGCATACCTGCCTACCCTTTCACTTTTGGCGTAATTCTTCTGCTTTTCATCACTAAATTTTGCTATTACACCATTAAAATCAATTTTATGCTTTTTAGGTGTCAGACTTAACAGTTGTGTTATTTAAAGTAACGAACTACTTCCGAGTTCAAGTACGACCTACATATATGCATAGGGAAGATACATGTATGTAAAACACTTCGTAAATCAAGGGAGGTATACTTTAATCACGCAGTTAAGCAAATGATTTCTCGAAATTAAGCTGGCTTCCTAAGATAAACATGCAGCAAATGCCATAAATTTGGAAGAAAAAGCAGATGCAAATACATCAGAAACTGATAATATATGTGAGAGTTTTTGAGCTACACATAGTAATATTTCTCGGGTTGTATCATATTAGGTATTATTATGCTTCCTGTAAGTTTCTCTCTATATAATAAATACCCAGTTATTTTCACATAGTGTTCTAAGATTTATGTAGCATAAGCATACTATGCCGAAATGGTGCATGGCTTCTTTTTCTGAAGAAGAATCCAAATGTATTCTTTATGCACTTCCATTGTGTTTTCCTAAGGATTTTTCAACACACTGACCGTCATCGTATTTGAGTATTACCATAATTGTGGGATTATTACGAGATGCAGAGTCAATCCGATAGTAGAGTCAAAGTGAACCAACATTTTTTAGGTTGAAATGAAATAAATTCATGTTATTTAACCCAGACAGACCAGTGGGGGTACAATGTAAACAAATTGGAGTGGCATACCTTTCTCTCTTATAATGTAAAGTAGGATATTTTTTGTGTGGAATGATTATTTTGGGGTTTTTTTCCAATTTTTCTTATGGTATACATAATAAATAAGTGTAATAAATATAATTTGTGAAAAAATATTCAACAAACCATGGGTGATTTTTTTTTAGGGGGGGGAGTGGGGGTGTCCTGTCCACAAGTACATGTGGTTGTGATATGAAACAAAAGTTTTACATAAATAAGTGGTTTGAAAACATCATATTATATACAGTGTACAATATAGAGTCTGATTTATATTATATAAAATTACAATGAGAAATGAAATAGGAAAAAAAAGAGAAAAATAAAGCCTTTTCCTCTAAATAATTCCATAATTAGGATCTAGATTACACCTCTGCCAAAAGAAGGGTAGGCAGGTCTGTTTTCATAAACTTTCCACATTTTTATCTGCTTCTTCAGAACCAATGGGCCAATTTCAACCAAACTTAGCACATAGTATTCTTGTATAGGGGATTCAATTTTGTTCAAATGAAGGGCCACACTCTCTTCCAAGGGGAGAAAATTAAGGATGAAGAAAAATTGGTTGGGGTCATTTAAAAATCTCAGGTACCACTGACCCAAAAAAGATGAAGGTTCCTGACATAGGGTAGATTTAAGTTTGTTCAAATCATGACCCCCACCCCCCTGGTTTAGGGTGGGGCCACTAAGAGCAATCAAAGTTTTACATGGGAATGTATAGGAAAATTTTTTAAAAATCTTCTAGAGAACGGCAAAGCTATGATCAGTCTATTTATATTGAAACATCCTCAGGTAGTGTAGATTCAAGTGTATTCAAATCATGACCCCCAGAGGTAGCTAGGGTGGGGCAACAATCAGTGATCGAAAATTTACATAAGAATATGTAGGAAAAATCTTTAAAAATCTTCTTCTTAAGAACATCAAAGCCATAATTAGTCATATTGATGTGGAAGCATCCTCAGGTAGTGTAGATAAAAATTTGTTCAGATCTTGACCCCTGGAGGTTAGGATGGGGCATAATGTGTGATCCTAATTTTACATAAAAATATATGCGGAAAAAATCTGCTGATGATGAACAGAAGGGCCATAGTGACTCAGGTGAGTGTTATCACCCATGAGTTTCTTGTTTATGTTTTTTTTTTTGATAACTTACAGGGTGATGTGTGGGCAGAAACTTCAGTATTTGGATTTTTATGGCATTATTTTGCATGCATGGAAGGAAAGATATATGACATTACAGAATGGGTCTCTTGTAAGGTAAGTTTACATTGGATTGAAACTTGCAACTTTTTATGGCCCATCATGAATATGGTATGGGCATATAGTGTTTGTCATTTCTGTTTTCCGTCCATCTGTCCCTCCTTTCCACTTAGCTCAGTTTCAAAGATGTTTTCGAGATATTTTAACCAAAATTTATACATTGATACATATTGATTAGAGCTATTCAACTGTGGCATAATTTTTTTTTACCTTGACCTTCCCTGTGACCTTGACCTTACTTTTCATTATCTTGTGTTTAGCTCAGTTTTAAAATAATTATTCAAGATTGTCTGTCTTTCCATCTTTTCATCTTTCCATCTGTCCATCGCATTTAGCTCAGTTTCAAAGACACTCTTTAAGATATTTTAACAAAAATTTATACATTGATACATAACATTTTATCAAAACTCATACACTGATACATATTGACGAGAGCTTTCCAACTGAGGCATAGTTTTCTGATCTTGACCTTTCCTATGACCTTAACTTCACTAATACTCATTTTGCTTTTAGCACAGTTTACAAGTAACTGTTCATATTTTCACCAAAACTCATAAACTGATACAAATTGGTGGGACATTCAACTTTGTTTTAATTCTCTGACATTGACATTCCCTATCACCCTATGACTTTGAACCCACTTTTTGTCATTTTGTTTTTATCATGGTATAATTAAACAGTTGAAGATGTTTTCATCAAACTTTATACAAAGATACAAATTGATAAGAGCAATTCAAATGTGTCAAAAGTTTTTGACCTTGACCTTTCCTGTGACCTTGTATTTCACTGTTCCTCATTTTGCATTTATCTGAGTTTTAAAGAAACTGTTAAAGATATTTCTATCAAACATCATACAATGATACAAATTCATTAGAGCTCAGAAAATTGACCTTCTACAGTTTGAATTGTTTTGCATTAAGCACAGTTTAGAAAACTGTTTCTGATATTTTCATTCAACTTCATACACTAATACAAATAGGTAAGAGCTATTCAACTGTGTTATGATGTTCCTTATAATTTTGACCTTCCCATGACCTTGAACTTCACTTTTGAAGATTTCCTAATCAAACATCACAAACTCCATACATCAAAATATTTCTGTAGAGTGTTTTTACTGTACACACTTAAGATATCACATATATATTTGCTAATATGACATAATGATCTTTGAAATAAGGAGATTTTATTTAGATAAATCTTAAAACAAAGAAGAAAAATACATTTCTTTTTAGATCACCTGAGCTGAAAGCTTAATTGAGCTTTTCTGATCACAATTTGTCCCACATCTGTCTGTCCATCCATCTGTTAACTGTTAACATTTTCTACTTATTCTCAAGAACCACTGGGCCATTTCAACCAAACTTTCCAAAAAGCATCCTTTGGTGAGGGGAATTCAAGTTTGTTCAAATGAAGGGCTAAGCCCTCTTTCAAGGGAAAATAATTAAGAATTGGTGAAAATATAGTGGCATCTTTCAAAAATCTTCTCATGAACCTGAGCTAGAAAAGTTGAACATGTGTGAAAGCTTCATTACATAATGTAGATTCAAACTTGTTCAAATCATGACCCCGGGGTAGGGTGGGGCCACAATGATCAAAGTTTCACATAGGAATATATAGGAAAAATCTTTAAAAATCTTCATAAGAACCACTTAGCCTGAACATTTGAGACTTATGTGAAAGCTTCATTAGATAGTGTAGATTCAAATTTGTACAAATCATGACCCCTGGGGATTGGATGGTGCCACAATGGACTATCAAAGTTTTTTATAGGAATATATAGGAAAAAGTCTAAATTTTCTTCTCAAGAATGGCAAGGACATGATAAGTCATATTGATATGGAAGCATCCTCAGGTAGTGTAGATTCAAGTTTGTACAAATCATGATCCCTGGGAGTAGGGTGGGTCCACAAAAGTCAATCAAAGTTACACAAAGGAATTTTTGGGGAAAAAATCTGCTGATGTAGAACAGCAGGGCCAAGTTAGTGACTCAGGTGAACATTGTGGACCATCGGCCTCTTGTTAATGTTGCAATACAGTTGTTTTATGGGTGGGAAATGTTCTATGGATATATTCCTAGTTTGAGACTGGATAGAAATTTACAGGAAATGATATGCTTACTTTTAAAATTACATATATGTTCATATATACTAATATGTACATAGATTTTCTGATGTTTAGCTCACCTGAACTAAAAGCTCAAGTGAGCTTTTCTGATCACCTGTTTTCCATCATCCATCCGCCTGTCTGTAAACTTTTCACATTTTCAGCTTCTTCTCAAGAACCACTGGGCCAATTTTAACCAAAATTGATACAAAGCATCCTTGGGCCAAGGGGAGTTTCTAGGGCCAATCCCCCTTCGAAGGGGAGATAATCAAGAAAAGACAAAAATAGGGTGGGGTCATTAAAAAATTTTCTTCTCAAGAACCAGGGCCAGAAAGCTTAAACTTAAGTGGAAGCATCCTGGGGTAGTGTAGATTGTAAATTGTTTAAATCATGACCCCTGGGGGTAGGGCGGAGCCACAATAGGGAATCCAAGTTTTACATTGAAATATGTAGAAAATATCCTTAAAAATCTTCTTCTCAAGAACAACTGGGCCAGAAAATCTGAAACTTTTGTGGAAGCATCCTGGGGTAGTGTAGATTCTAAAGTGTTCAAATCATAACCCCCAGGTGTAGGGTGGGGCCACAATAGGGAATCCAAGTTTTACATTGAAATATATAGGAAAAATCTTCTTCTCAAGAATCACTGGGCCAGAAAAGCTTAAACTTTAGTGGAAGCATCCTGGGGTAGTGTAGATTCTAAATTATTCAAATCATGACCCCTGGGGTAGGGCAGGGCTACATTAGGGAATTCAAGTTTTACATTGAGATATATAGGAAAAGTCTCCTTCTCAAGAATCACTTGGCCAGAAAAGCTGAAACATATGTGGAAGCAATCTGGTTAAATTCTAAATTGTTCAAAAATCATGACCCCTGGTGGTAAGGTGGGGCAACTTTAGGGAATCTAAGTTTTACATTAAGATACATAGGAAAAATCTTTAAAAATCTTCTTCCCAAGAACCACTGGGCCAGAAAAGCTGAAACTTAAGTGGAAGCATCCTGGGGAAGTGTTGATTCTAAATTCAAATTATGACCCCTGCGGGTAGGGCGGGGCCACAATAGGTATTACAAGGCGGGGAATCTGGTGAACAACAGCAGGGTCAAAGTTACTCAGGTGAGAGTTGTGGCCCATGGGTCTCTTGTTTTGTATACAGATGGACTACTTTTAGGATATACTAATCTATATTTAAATAGCCCTTTTTTATATACAGAAAGACTATTTTAAGCATATGCAGCCGAATGCCCACCATGTGTTTTACAGAATTGCTACTGAAGGAGGACGAGCTCCAAACAATAATCAACATGGAAGATCAGGGTAATTATGGCCATGTTTATCACACTTGATTCAGTTTGATGAACTCGGTACATAGATTTCTGTCAAGTTTTAAACTGATACTAGTACAGGTTGCTGTATTTGTTCTGAAAATGTGAAAATTAGATAATATGTATTTACAGAGAAAGCAGTAAAACATGTCCTTAATTTATTTTACACAAAACTTTAAAAACTTACTAATGAATTTGATACTTTCCTTATTTTAGTGAAGCAGATTTAGAAGACTTTATAAACCACTTATTTCATCAAGCAATGAGCACAGAACAAAATGGCAATGCTCAATGGCAACCTCCCCCCTCACAAACTCAGCCTCCCAGCCAGAGCTGGGGAGCAGCCAATGCAGCAAAGAAAGGCCGGCGTAGGAAGAAAAAACATTAGACACAACACTGCCTTAATTAACTCTTCAGTCCTGTGTATGTGGAGTTTTTTGTAGCATTCTTGTCTCATTCATTTTAATGTAAACAAAGGAATTGTTGAAGGTTTCACTTTCTTTCTTTGAACATATCAGTTTATTGTCACAGACTAAAACTGTTTTTCATTCGTTATCTTCATGTAGAAAGCATAAAGCTGAAACACCTGATGAAATGTTAAAATACTATAGATCTGTGTAATAAAGTTAATTCACTGGAATTTTGTATGTTTATCAACTTGCAAATTTCATAAAGATGCTAGTGACCGTATCTTAATTTTTTGATAATAAAAATATCTTGCCATGTATTTCATAAATTTAGCAAATCGGTGCTTTAAGAGGGATGTAATGAGGTGCCAAAATGGGCGAACAGTGAATTACATTTTTTTTAACATCAGGCCTAAAATACTAGTACCGTTACTAGGGTACTTTACCTGGATCATGATCTATTGATAGAGATGGACAAGTCCTACAATGGAAAATTCTTGGACATAAGTACATATGTATCCTGACTTATTGCTAAGCTTTTAATTCCAGATAACATTGATATTGGTGTATTATATCAGAATGCATTTCAGCTTTTACAATTATCATCATTAACATAAATTTACTTCATGATCTAAATACTTGCAAACTTTATGAATGAAGAAAGTTTATCAAGATCTTATAATGTATGAATTTGAATGTTGTACCATATACATGTACCAGTGTTATGTTGATACAATGTGTATTTTGAAGACAGACAGATTTCTTGTCTTTTTATTACAAATAGTTATAATGCTGTATATGAGATGGTAACATCTTTTCTGTTTATTTCAGACGTACATGTATTTGACAACAAACTTAAAATAAATTTAGGTAAATGATGATTTGATTTGTTTCATACTGTATGGTAAAGGTGCAGTGGCCATAGACTTATGGCTTCATCTTTTTAACCTAAACTGTGAAAATATGAAATTTGTGACAATGTTTCTTTGTTTAAAGTTTCTATGTATTGACATTGTGATTATTACTTTAGCAAGATGTAAAATGCTAATCTTTAATAGCATGATAATATTTTCGCAAAATTATGTTCAAAAAAGGTTTTGAGGCTTAAGTATACAGATGTATGATCAATCAAAGCATCTCCAGCCAAATACACAGTTGCATTTCCGTATCTTGCACATCAATATATCAAATATATATGGATATGTGGAAGTGAATTGGAAGTCCTGGTCACCTTTCTTTGTATTTGGACCTCAGTGATTCCTCTGCTTTCTGTTTTATCTCATTTCAGATAACTAGATACCTACCATTTACATGTGCTTTCAATATAAAAAATATATCTCCCATCATAAGTTAATGACAGTATAATATGATCAATATCAGAGTTACAAATTCTGCTCTCAAACAAATTGTAATACCTGGTTTGCTACACGACTTGTCAAAAAGTTTGATGATCCATTTAGCACTATACACTACCAGAACATTTGTTTGATGTGAGACTATGCCTTTCTTGAACATAACATTCATCAAGGTGAGCTTTGTAATCTTTGATTATCTCTAATTTTTTTTCTGAATCAGTGGCTCTGAAGAATTTTGAATCAAACATCCATTTTCCATATTTTATTATTTCCCCTATGATGTAAAAAATTTTAATTCCTTTGTGCAGTGATGCTGCAAGGGGCACACCTGAGCCTCTGGCTCAGGTGACCAAAAAAGGATTCTAATCAAGATTTCAAAAGAGTACTTTCTCTCGAGTCTCTTTTGTAACCCCTGCAAACAAAGTTTGGGTGGTAAATAGGAATCGCCTTCTCTGTCTGTACCTGTAATCTTGTCAGGGCTACAACTTTGTAATGGAGATTATTTGGAAGCTCAAACTTGGTAAAAAGATTGTTTATGAGTTGAGGGTGAGTCATGACCTTGATCAAAGGTCATTTTAGCAAGTTCAAGATCACTGGCAGAAAAAAAAATTTTAAATTATTTTATGGTCTGTAATGTTGTACTGGAGAATCAGTGGAAGCTCATACTTGGTACAAAGATTATTTATGACCTAAGGGTGTGTCATGACCTTGACAAGGATACTCCAGCAAGTTCAAGGTCACTGGCAGAAAAACCATAAAATTCTTGTCTTGGCTATACAATGTAACTTTGTAAGGCAAAAAAAAAAAAAAAAAGGAAATTCAGTTATTCCCATTTTCATACAATAATTTAGGAATGACTCTAATTCTTGGCCAAATTATTCGAGTATAACCTGGTTTGGGTAAGTTTACGCTTTATAATCCGCGAAGCTTAAGAGATCACGTATAAATTTGCTAATATGATGATCTTTGAAACAAGGAGACTTTATTTAGCTACTGGATGGGAATTAGGGATGGCAACGAATATTCAAACATTCGAAAATTCATTTGATGAGCCTGATATTCGAATATGAATTTAAGATTCGAATATTCGGAGTTTTTCAGATTTCACAAAAAGAAGTACAACGTGTACAATGATTAATAAATTTTGATTAGAACAGTGCTGGAATTATCCCTGTTTAATTTACTAGCGATCAATTTCGATCGCCTGGTTTCTTTCACTACTTTCTTAGCTTATAAATCTACTAAATAACATGTATTTTGTTTTGAGTAAGGTGTTAAAGAATTGTACAATAATGCTTTATGTATAATACAAAATGTACTTTCATAGTTTTTATTAGTTATAGATACGATCGGATCTAGAATGAGGACAACAAATGAAATCTAATGTCTAAAAGGCGTGAAGAGTATACTTATCAAAATAAGATTAATTGATCATTGAATGAATGTCCAATAGAAATAATCTGTAATTAATATTGTAAAGGGCTTAATTTCAGAATAAATGTGTAAATTACTTATCTCGGGTTGTAGATAATCCTGAATATATGAACATACATGTAATCCTGAAGTTTATATTCATTATTGGGATATTAGTAAATCACCTAGGAAAATTGTCTATGGAAATATTTGTTTACATTGTATCAAAGATTATAATCATATCTCTTATCAGGCAGATAATTGTAATTTATACATATTGAAATCTAAACAGTATACCGTTACGACTATCTTGCCTTTTGTAAGACGACTGGTTCCTCAGTTGGAGCTACTATAAAATACACGTTTCATTTGTTAAAATTGTCCATCTGTTAACTGTTAACATTTTCCACTTCCTCTCAAGAACCACTGGACCAATTCAACCAAACTTGCCCCAAGGCATCCTTGGGTGAGGGGAATTCAAGTTTGTTCATGATAAATGAAAGCTTCATTAGATAGTGTAGATTCAAATTTGTACAAATCATGACCCCACAGAGACAATGGACTGTCAAAGTTTTACATAGGAATATATAGGAAAAAGTCTATATTTTCTTCTCAAGAAGGATAAAGGCATGATTTTACAATTTTTTCCAGTGACCTTGAACTTGTCCAATGATCTTTGGTTATGACTCATAACCCAAGATCATTGTGACAAGTTCAAGGTCACTGGCAAAAAATTGTAAAATTCATAACAGGTCTATAATGTTCTAGTAGAGAAACATCGACCAGAGGATGTCATTTTTTTTAACCAAGGTTGTTCTGGCAAGTTCAAGGTCACATAAGCACTTTAAAATTGCAGCAGAGGGTATTATATTGCGAGCTTGCTCACAGTACCTCAAGTTTGTATTACAAAGAAAAGTGTTGGTATGCATGATAAACTTTTTGTTAGATATCACTCTAAGATTTTGCAACAATGATAACATTTTCAGGTGTAAGCTTTTCTTCTATGTAAGTCTTGAGCTGACTTTGTAGACCACAGTTCCTCAAGTAATGTACTCGACCAATGTCAATTAGTCTCTTACACTTCCTGCCTACCTCTTCTCTCTGACTTGCTGACAACTGAAGGTCACTCCTTCACAGAAGAAAGAAAAACTGTCATAATTTTTAAGTTTGCATATGTTATTCATGTATTTGTGTAATATTTTTCATAAATATATGAAATCTTTTTGTTGAAAATTCTCATCTTGAAATTATTATCAAACCGTCCTTTTAAGTTTTGAACTAAAAAATAGCCACGTGTGATGTGATATATGACAAAAACAATTCAATTCATTTTGCCAGAGAAAATTTACCGGCAAAATGACTGCTCCCTGTCCTGATGTTCCTTAAAATCATTAGAATTGATTGATTGGTCAACAGTGGTGTTTTTATCTATCTTCTGTGAGGATGAATTCTGCCTATCAAAGACCTTATCAGAAGTGTTCTTGATTTCACTTTCGTATTTGTTGATGCTACAATTTCCTCTGTCAATTTCTCTGTACATTTCCTCCTTTGTTTTCCAGCCAGCCCATGTTGCAGCTGTCCAGCCACTAAGTTTACAAAGTAAGGTAAATTCTCGATGAGAAAGACCACAGTTCTTTATGAATTCTTTACCAACATATGACTCCCATGTACATCTGTGATGACAGCAAAGGGCTATGGTAACACCTGCTAGACAAGATCTGTCAAAAAAAGGTCAAAAATTGAAATAAGAAAAAATCACCTTCAGTCAGATTTCTACATGAGAATTTTCCTTATCAGGTACATGTACACTTCAATGTCACTTCAATTAACTTACTTTGGATGACTATCATAATTTTCTGACTTAAATTTCTTTTCTTCTGGTTGACTAGACCTTCCCTCAGATTTTTGTACTTCAAGAGTTCTTGTAACACAACGTAAGGCAAAGTCTACAGAAAATAAAGTGATGTTAAAACAAAAGCACATGTATGTGACAAGAACCATTCTTCATTGATCCTTCATATAAAAAGTTGAATCCTTGTATACATAAACTTTGAAATCTTTATCCTTAACTGTCACTTTGTCTTTTTAATGTTTATTTTTCATCAGTGTTATTTTACTTTGACAACCTCTTCAGCACTTGATATTAAAATCACATAAACCTGATCCTGGGTCTTTACCTGTTGCACCTCCACACAGATGTTTGCCAACTGCCACCACTGGTCTCTGATTGGCTGAAATACTCTCCACTTTCTCTATTCAAAAGTGTAGTCATGATACATACATGTAAGTTATATAAAATTGTTTATTATAAAAAGGTAATATTTTAAAGTCATAAACAAAAGCATTCATGTTCTTTGCAAAAATTATGCAATAATGATATAAATGTCACCCAGGTTTAAGTCGGCAATGTTTATGCGAAGGCGTTCAAACTTGGGTCCTGTATCTGGCCACTTGTGCTTGTTGTCTGCCTGGGAAAATGTGAATACTTCAATTTGTTTTTGTTTTTCCAAAACACACAGGAGTGTGGACTGATGATTGTATGTATTTTGTTATTATTGATTAAACTTTTATTACTTTGTTTGAAGAATGAGTATTACTTCATAATGCACTTTTGTGCCCTAGCTGCATTGCATTATGAGGTCAGAAATATGATACTACATGTATTAGCTTCACATACCTTGTATCTCACATGACCGTAATCAACCAAAACAAACCCTAGATCTGACTTGTCTGGTAAGGCTTGCTGTATCCAGTGGGATAAATTACCTGTAATTATTACTTATAATGTATGCTCTAACACAGTGCTACTGCTTCACAATATACAAGTTATATCTTAATATGAATTATTTTATCCAGTTCTTTATATTTTACCTAAATTCATGAATAGTATTTCTCTATGATAATGTCTCCACTACATTTGTTTCTGTGATATTTTCATCTTTGCCTTTAAATGATTAAATCTGGTCACTGAAATATATCAGCAAGTTTCTTTTCCATGAATTGATAAATGCTTGCAATCTGATTCATCCCTTTGCAATAACAATCCTAATGACACCTTTACATTATGGTGTGAATAAAATAAATCCTATTTATAACAAATAAAAGTGGAAGTTACCTTTACCAGCACCAAGCTCTACAAAACACAGGCCTTCATGTAACAAGTCCAGTCTTTGTAACTGTCCTACCAGAGAAGCCTGTTAATACAATATAAACAAAGTATTACTCATATAGCTGAGCCTAGTCATCTCATCTCAGAATTAATCTCACACTCAGTCTGGCTCAGACCTGTTGTTTTCTGTGGCGGATGGCAGGAATTCCATAAGATTCATTGCTCAGTTCCTCATCCAGACAATGATGGTTCAAGATTTCTTCATCAATACTGATTACATGCTCTGATTTAAACAGTATAAAACCAAAAATTTAGACAGAAAATCAGACAAATACCTTAAATTCAAGTAATCCTTGTAGTAATACAGGTACTTATTTCAAACTGTATATGTATCGGAATCAACAAATAAAATATTATACATTGTATATAAGAAGATTATTTTCATAATACTCGTTGGCAGAGAGTATGTCATGTGACATTCATCCTCTTGTGATATTGATGCGGATTATGACATCACACAACTCACCATTTCTATACTGTAATAAGCATTAACAGTTGTACCAAAACTCGCAAGTTTGGTTGCTATTACTTTCTGTGTTTTCGGTCAATATCACTTGACATGGGTCCTTGTAACCACATACATGTATCAAGCTACACTGAAGTCCTTAATATTGTATATTTATTATAAACAAGCAAGAGCTTCAGTGTTCTTGAATAAATACTGTAGATCACTAAATTTTCATGACACCTTAATTTCAAGAGAGCATTTTTAAAAAAAAAAAAAAAAAAGGAAAGCAATTTTTTTTCCAATTTCGTTTATTGCTCTCTATAATCTTTCAATTAAAGTAGAATTATATGTGAGAACAAAATTTTCATGAGCAGATGGTATTGCATATTACATGAAAATAAAGTTTGCACAGATAAAAAGTTATTAACAGTAGTGAAAAAAAACAAGAAGTCTGTGAGCCAATGCTCACTAATAATACCCCCGCTCTGATGTGAATACACAAGTTCAGTTATGGACAAACACAGTGATAATCAGGAAATTGACATCGGATTTGTAAAAACTGAATCCCAACATATGGCATGCCTAAACAAAGAAAAAATTTCAAGCATCTGCGATGAGTAGTTGCTGAGAAAACTACGACCAAAATTTATTATGTATGGTACGGACAGACGCACGGATAAACAGGAAGTTGACATCGGATTTGTTCCAAAAATGAATCCTATTATATGGCATGCCTAAACAAAGATTGTGTTAAAATTTCAAGCACCTATGATGAGTAGTTGCTGAGAAAACTGCGACCAAAATTTGTTATGTGTGGTACGGACAGACGCACGAATAAACAGGAAGTTGTCATCGGATTCGTACAAAAATGAATCCCGACATATGGCATGCCTAAACAAAGAGTGTGTTAAAATTTCAAGCACCTGTGATGAGTAGTTGCTGAGAAAACTGCGACCAAATTTTTTTATGTATGGTACGGACAAACGCACGGATAAACAGGAAGTTGACATCGAATTCATATAAAAATGAATCCCACCATATGGCATGCCTAAACAAAGAGTGTGTTAAAATTTCAAGCACCTGTGATGAGTAGTTGCTGAGAAAACTGCGACCAAAGTTTGTTACGGACAGACAGACAGACGGACAGACAGACAGACAGACACACAAGGGTAAAACAGTATACCCCCCTCTCCTTCGGAGCGGGGGTATAAATATTTTCAATTTAAACATATATTCAATCTATAACAAGAAATGTTTGAGAAGCATATGCACCCCAGTGTGGCAATATTAAAATGGGAACAGCTTCAATTTTATAATGTCTGTAATCATCTACTAGTCAGGGGCAAACATAATAAGTTTGCTCTTTATCAAACCTCAATATCATTAGGGGCAATTTACTTCTAAGAGGGTACCAGTGTACCACATTTGATGCCTGTAAAGCTAATGGTTCTTAAGATACTGAGCTGACAATATGTTCCTATATTTAGTACCTATTGTTTTTTACCCTTGACCTTTGATCTTATGACTACAAAATCAACAGAGGTCCAGAGGATTTTTTTTGTATATGTCTACAATATGTATTTCATATTCCATTTGATCTTGAATGGACGTCTCTCATTTCCAATAACTCCTTACCATCATAAAGCTTGTGAACCTTTTCGATCAAATCTTGCAGCTCTCTGGTTGAAAAATCCTTAAGTGGTATCTGAAAAACAAGAAAATCATCAGCAAGATACCTTTACAATGGTGATATGAAATAACCTGTCTGCATTTATTCACTCACCACTTAAGTCAGAGACTTGAAAGTGGTTATCTCTATAATGTGAGTTGTATGACATTATCTCTACCTTTGTCTCTATAATGTGAGTTGTTTGACATTATCTCTACCTTTGTCTCTATAATGTGAGTTGTTTGACATTATCTCTACCTTAGTCTCTATAATGTGAGTTATTTGACATTATCTCTACCTTAGTCTCTATAATGTGAGTTATTTGACATTATCTCTACCTTAGTCTCTATAATGTGAGTTATTTGACATTATCTCTACCTTAGTCTCTATAATGTGAGTTATTTGACATTACCTCTACCTTAGTCTCTATAATGTGAGTTGTTTGACATCTCTACCTTAGTCTCTATAATGTGAGTTATTTGACATTATCTCTACCTTAGTCTCTATAATGTGAGTTGTTTGACATTATCTCTACCTTAGTCTCTATAATGTGAGTTGTTTGACATTATCTCTACCTTAGTCTCTATAATGTGAGTTATTTGACATTATCTCTACCTTAGTCTCTATAATGTGAGTTGTTTGACATCTCTACCTTAGTCTCTATAATGTGAGTTATTTGACATTATCTCTACCTTAGTCTCTATAATGTGAGTTATTTGACATTATCTCTACCTTAGTCTCTATAATGTGAGTTGTTTGACATTATCTCTACCTTAGTCTCTATAATGTGAGTTGCTTGACATTATCTCTACCTTAGTCTCCATAATGTGAATTATTTGACATTATCTCTACCTTAGTCTCTATAATGTGAGTTGTTTGACATTATCTCTACCTTAGTCTCTATAATGTGAGTTGTTTGACGTTATCTCTACCTTTGTTTCTTTTGCTGTATCCTCTACTTCATCAGTATCTTTGTTGATGCCCTCTGTGTGATATGGCTACAAAAATAAATATCATTATTATTTGAATAATAGAGTGATCAAAGCTGTTAAACCACCTTGTTACCAACATGTATTAGTCAATAGTATATGTACCAGCAAATGCATTGAACTGATGACACAAAGCAAATTCAGTTACGGTAATAAACTATAGTTTATCCAAATTAGATCATAACAATAACAGCTCTTTATACCGGCAATTCTTTTTGTTGCTTCCTGCATTTCTTCAGATGTTTTTCCACACTGTCTTTATAGCAAGTACTGTTTAAAATAAATTTATTCTGTTACCTCAATTAAACCATTCATATCTAAGATTCAATCTGAAATGAGGATCAAAAGGAAACTTAAACTTGATCAAAAATAAAGTGCTTGTACAGCTTGAAATATGAACTTTTATAAATGTATTGACTGCGAAGAAAAATTAAATGCTGTTGATTTCACAATCCATGCATTACATGTTGTACCTGTTTAAATGTATATACCAGTAATTAAGATTTTCACATTTTTAACATGTAAATTTCTTACTGTTTTGGGTTTATTGGACAAGGAATTCTCTCCCTTCCTTGGTCTATCTGTCAGGGTAAAGTACACATATAATGACAATTCAATTGAACAAAAGTAATACCTTAGGAGAACAAATTTTCATGGGGATAAAATTTCATTGATTTGTAATCTAAAAAGGTTTTGTGGGTATTAAATTTCATTGTTTTGAAGATAATCTTATTCAGTATATAGTCACATAAAATTTTTGTGTGGGATTTACCAGTAATTTCGTTGACAATTATTATCAACAAAATAAATGAAATTTAATCCCCCAAAAATATATCTGCTTTTACAGTAAATCATACTACCGGTATTCTAATAAATCATATATTTTCCCAGTATATTGTACAAAATATAACGGTAAAATGGTTTACTTCAGAGAGAGTGAAATAATTACTATCCCCAGTATTGTAAGTATAACAATTTCAGTTCACAAATAACCCTTCAACTATATAGTCAATTATACGAACAGAGTTTATTATCAAACACACTAACTGTAAATTCCTTATTATAGTACTTAATATAGTACTTAGTACTTAATATCATGAAATAACTCCTAAATGTCAAATCATGAGAAAATGAATATGCAATTGGACTGTTAGTCTAAAGTTTATACATGCATTCTAGCGATATAAAAACATGTGAGTAACTTTATTTCATGACCAGTGCTTCTTGCAAAATTATGTGATGATAAATTCCTTGCCTTTATAAAGGGCACTAGAGCATGTGACATGTTTATTTCAAACTTAGATATCTATTTAAATGATAGGAAACCTGAAAGTAAAATAAGGTACTAAATTTGAGAAATTTATAGATTTACTCATTTTTCTGAATTTTTTAAAGAATTTTAAGATTTCCTACAGAATACAGCTAGAGCACAGGTAGCAAATCTATTGTTTAATGCAGCTGGTATATAATACATCTTTTATAAATGTATTGAAATCTAAGACAGGCTTTGAAACAACTTATTTTTATCCAGGAGTCATTTTGAATGATTCACTAGAAACTTATAAAGTCAATTCTGACTGTTAAATAAGGGGGGGAGAGCTGATAATTTGCACAATTTGTTTTCGATTGAACTAAATTCTGATTTCCATCAGGTATTACTGTTTGTCTGACTTTACTATGGACTGGTCCTTAAATCTTCCATATGCCATGTACATGTTTATAATACATATCTTGAAGTTTTTTTTCTCTGTCCCATGGAGTTTGAGATAATGAGGTTTGACTGTACATTGTATTTTCTTAAAAAGTCATACCATGTAGTGGTATGTAATAATCTCTGGCAAAATATGTTGACTTGAATTTTGATTGATTAAAAATCTGTTTCTAAAATAACATCAGAAAAATATCACAATGTTTTTATGGAAAATAAAACAAACAAATTTTATTTATTAACTGCAATATTTGAGCAATTTGGTATTGAATTTTTAATGCCACTAACTTTTCAATTCTGTTCTCTGTCAGAGATTAGTACATACCACTTCATGATGTGAAACTGATTTTCCAGTCAGCAAGCAGAGTTTTGACGCTTTTTAAAGAGATTAAAGAAAATAAAGACAAGCATGCCATATATGGTTGTGTAGATTATCGTAGAAGAGAATGGTAACAAACACCATACAAACAATTTGCCAGTAAATTTTCTCTGAAAGTGTAACTAACACAACTGCGATTCTGATGAAGGGCGTATTCCATGTCATTTCCATTGTATTTCGGATTTAGATACTCTGTGTTATTATTATACCATGGATTAAAAATTTTATAACAGAAACAAGTGCCTTTGATTTCAATTTCCCAGTTTACTTGCACGTATAATCGCTAATAATTATACTCAATCGAAAATTTTCAAAGTAGTGAAACAAATCAAAACAATCTGGGAAATAGAAATATTTATGCAGTTATAGTGATTAGCTAGGGTTTGTCCCGAACTTTCAAGTTTCATGACTTAGCCAGCTGTTAGCTTAGTTATAGGTAATTAAATATCACCCCTAGAAGTCCAGCGTGCTCTGGACAATATTTTCCACTGCCAGTAGGCCTAAATCTACAATAACGCTTCTTTTTCTGCAGAAAAAAGGCACATTGGCTTTCATCTGCTTGTTTTTCTTGAGAATCCATAGCCAGATGGAAAATCGACAAAATGAAAGTGAAAGTAAAAGCTTTAGCTGCGGAACCAAAAAAGGAAAAACCCAGACAAACTTAAACAGAATTTTTTTTATATCAATCGGTGATATCATATAAATATCATATATGAACATGAAAATTACTGATGCTGATAAATAATATTTTACACCATTTTATAACTTATTAATTTACTGCGGAGCTTTATTCATGGCGGATCGTGAAGTTGGCAATTTGAAAGTTGGGTGACGCATAGGCGTTTGAAGTGTTTGAATAGAACAATATACACATTTAAGACTGAAAAATGTTTGTTACATTAAAGACTCTTCAGCAACAGACCTTCAAAGTTGAAATTGAACCCGAAGACACGGTATGTCTATAAAACACGTGCATGACGACTATCTAGGATTTTAGTATTTTTTTTCTAATGAACAATTTATAAACAATAGCATCGCCTCTGAGATAAAGTATGATATTGTATATTTATGTTGTACAACACACTCTGTTATGGCGCGTAGAAGGTTTGTGGTATAAAACACGTATAAGGTTCAATAGAATGTAAACTGACGTGACTAACACCAACAAGCAGTAATTGTTGGCTATCACGCCTTTCTTTGTTTATTTTTCTAAAACTTTTTCATTGTATCAGTACATTGTCTGTGTAAGAATCAAAATGCTTGAAATGCTTTGATATATTTCTTCAATAAGAGGCCTTTAGTAGGTCCGGAACATTCTCTTGATAGCTATAAAACTTTATTTTTTTCTTCAAAATAGCTTGATAAAGCTATTTATTTACAGGTTTTTTTTATTCTTTACAAATACATTTTTTTTTACAAGAAATAGACACGAAATTGCAATATATGTGCACTAGTTAGAATAATCTAACTGTGTCTCAGGACAGGCCCTCACCACAGTTAGAATGCCTCCCATATACCCGTAATGTGGCAGAAAATTGCAGAATCGCTCTGAAATGATTTTAGAGAAAATTAATGAAGTTCCATTGAAAATAACAGTCAAATTAATCATAACAAACCTTTCTGAAACTGTAAATACCTTTCATCTAAAAATTTAATCCATATAATGGAAGAATTCAACACTTTTTCACCAATGTTTTTTACTCGTTTCAAATTTATACACCATGTTGACATTCAGAACTCTCGGGATTTTTCATAGTAAATGCACTGAGTTAGAGTTATCTCCCGTACTTTCTTTGCTACATTGACAATACACGGAACGCATTCTATCGTTAAACCAGGTCCGTAGGGCATTTAGTATTTTAACAATAGAACATTCTATCTATATGTACACCACTTTTACTGAACATATTTGGATAATAACATTTATTGAATTCTCTCTTTACATGTAAATAAACTGTAAAATTATTTTTCGATGCCCATTGTGTATACAGATTGTACTATGGGTTCATTGCCATGATGCCCTGGAAATTTCCACTTTCATCAATGATAAAAGAAGGGAATTATTCAATATGCACTATTTACTGATAAATTTATCACCACAACTTACTCATAGTCTTTCCATAAATACATTTTACTTTTTTCAAATGTTAACCATTATTTCCGTGCCCATTCACATCAAAGAATTTTTTGATATTCGTGGAATGATTAATAAATAACATTGTTTCGATGCTATGACACTTTCATGAATAGCAAAATAAATCGTTCTAAGTAAATAATTAGTGTTTTTCCTACTCCAACCTGAAAAAAATAGGGTAGGTAGCCATAGGGAAAACATTTAATTTTAACATTTTACTGTTTACTTAACTTTGACAATAAACACTATTTCAGAGAAACAGAGTTCATGTCTTTTTCCCCAAAAGGCAGCATACAATTGGCAAGAACATTGTCATTTTTCATGGGGAAATCACTAGGGCTGTATCAATATATCGATATGTATCAATATTCAAGAATATATTTGTATCAAAAAAGTGATTTCTAATACGTAGCGGACAAGTAGTTAAGGTCTTCCAGGTTTCCAACTGAAGACCTTCTACTGATTCTGTTGTTTCTTTTCCACTATTATTATTTTTTTTTTTTTCTTACCGATTTTGTGCAGACGATTTCTCGAGAACGCCTTGATAGATTTTCACGAAACTTTCAGCAATGATGGCAAATTATCTGAACTTTATGCGTTTTTTTTTTATTTTGTTGTCATCACTTCCAGTCGCGAGATATGGCCAATTTTCAATTTTTAAAATGGCATTTTGTCCGCGAGTGTTCTCAAAAACTGTTAAAAATTGAGACTGAAACTTTCAGGGATGATAGATTGTGACTTGTAGATTTGAGAAACCTGTATAGCTTTTGTTGCCGTGACGTCCGTTGTCCACCGGAAGTAGTTTAAAAATATGCAAATTTTTATTTTTTTCTTATTGAAATGTTTTTAATAGAGGCAAATATACTGTTTCGAGTCATATTATTTCCACCGGAAGTTATTTCTTCCGAACCGGAAGTAGTCGAAAAAATGCTCATTTTTCCTCGAAACTTTGAGGGATGATTCCTCCACACTCAGTGAAGAGTTAAAAGTCATTTTGACTTCTTCCGGTCATGCGGGAAGTGAATAAAAAAGACTGGAAGTTGTTTGAAATTGATAGATTTCACTTTTTTATGAGTTGCTAAACAATTCTGAAGAAAAGATATGAATATTTTTTTTACATTTAAAGTTGTTTTACTTTCTTTTATCAATCAAAATTTCCCAATCAAGATTTTGTCAGAAATCTAACGGAAGACCTACTCGTTGCTCGCAACGAGATCTCATCTAGTTTTTCTTATAATTCTGTGAAAAAGTTGGAAATTTCAGTCACCCGAATTTGTATTTAACTGTTTTGAATTTAAATTGATATAATCGTTGAGAAGGTAGCACATCTTAGATAATTATTACAGAATACATAGACACCTTTACATATAATTTATTCATCTAAGCCTCAACAGAACAGTTGCTATCCAACAAGTGTTCGACTCATTGTTCTTTTAAGGTTTGATGAGAAAGGCTATCCCCCTCACAGTCAGTGGGTAGGTTATAAATAATGTACTATTTAAATGATAATTGAGCAATATTTAACTTTTCTTTGTTCACACATAAGTTCTGCTGCTGCCAACAGTAAAAACAGTAATTGCCATGTTTTATGCTTTTGATTTATTTCAGTTTATGTGACAGAAAAATGTCGTACAAATTGTGTATAGAGGGCAATGACAATTTATTTGGCATAATTTTAATCTTTGGAAGAAAATGTTAACAATTGTCTCATTTATTGACATATGCTCTCTATTTGTTGATGAATGACTTGTTTTAGAATATGCATTGTCATCCTGCTGATCAACTAACAATTAGGATAAAAAATATTTCTAATCAATAATGATTAATAAGAAATTATGTGAAAACATGAAATTTGAAAACATGAAGTAGTATTTGTAGTGTTTTGTCCAAAAGACAAAAAGTATATATTTTCCCTTATGTTGAGCCCTGGTCTTGTATTATTTCAGTTTTGGTTCTGATACAATAAGTTTAATGAAAAAAAAAATCTTCTTGCAGGTTAAAAGTTTAAAAGAAAAAATAGAAAATGAAAAAGGAAAAGATAATTTCCCAGCTGGGGGACAGAAGCTTATATATGCAGGTGATATATGTAGTTTCATTTTAGGTATTCCAAACTTCAATATTGTGTCATTTTTTTTCTTTTTCATACTGATTATGTGTTTCTTCAGGAATTTTAAAATGATTGTGTCATTTTGTAGGAAAAATCCTTGATGATGATAAAAAAGTTAGTGAATACAAGATTGAAGAAAAAAACTTTGTTGTTGTCATGGTAACAAAGGTATGGGTTTTTTTTTAATTCAAGTTAATTACGTACCAGGTATTTTACCAGTGTTGGTGAATGGTGTATTTAAGTATTTTATGTTAAAACGTCAAATAAATAAAAATAGAAAATACATGTAGACTTTAAAAATTTCTTCGGCATCTCAACATGGAAAAGTTGTATTAGAATAGGAATGCTATGTTTCATTCTGTTATCCAATAGATTCAGGAAGTTCTTCTGGTCTTTGTTTAAATTCGTCTGTATAGTAGACATGTATACAAATACTGATATTTCTATATAAATAGATTTAGTCAATTGTTACACATGATTATAATAAATATAACATGATAAGGAAATAAAGTCTTGGTTATCATTATATTGAACCACATTGATTTCAGTGATTTCCCTGTAGATATATAAACCATCATTATGTTAGAAATAAATTTAAAAGCAGTGCTTAAAATCACTACCCATATTATCACAGTCATTCTGCAGAATTTGCTGTCATTTAATTTTATATAGTCTAGTGTATTTTACACTTGTGTGACTCTCATATAAAGATACCTAAAGATAAAGAAAAAAAATATTAAACTTGTGAGAAGCATTTATTGTAATTTGCCCTTCTTTAAACTAAATTTAAGTTAAATTTATGATGGGAAATGTCTTGCATTTGTCTGTTTGGCACATGTATGCAATTCAACTAACTAAGCTTTGTATTATTTGGAAATTCCATTTTGATACATGTAGTCCTTTTTTGCCCCCATAATTGAAGATTTGTGGGGCATATAGTTTTTGCCCTGTCCATCCATGTGTCTGCAAAAACTTTAACCTTGCCCATAAGTTTTCACTGGTTGGAGCTAAGGCTTTTATATTTCACATGTGTGTTCCTTGTGACAAAATCTTTCTTTGGGTTCCAACATATTTAACCTCTTGATCTGACCTTGGAGTTTGCACCACTTTTGCAAAATATGACCAAACTTTAACCTTGACCATAACTTATATACAGTTGATGCTAAGGCTTTCATATATTACATGTTGTATTCTTTGTGAGAAGACCTTCCCTTGGGTATAAATATTTTTGACTTTTTGACCTTGACCTTGGAGTTTGACCCACTTTTGAAAAACTTAAACCTTGGCCATAACATTTGAACAGTTGGTGCTAGGGCTTTCATATTTCTCATGTGTATTTCTTGTGACAAGACCTTCCCTTGGGTACCAACAATTTTGACTTTTTGTCCTTGATCTTAAAGTTTGATCTGCTTTTGATAAACTTTATTATTAGCCTTACTTTTGAAAGGTTGGTGCCAGGGCTTTCATATTTCACAGGTATATTCCTTAAGACAAGACCTTTCTTTGGGTACCATCTTTTTTCATCCCTTGACCTTGGAGTTTGACTTGCAAGTGAGAAACTTGCACCTTTGCCATAAGCTGCTATGCAGGGGCATCAATGTTTCACAAACACATCTTGTTCTAATAGTCCTTTAGAAGTGCTGTAACTTCTTGCAGGATAAGAATTGTTGGGATTTGATTTCCTCCAAATATGAATACTTAACTGATGTCTGATCCTGCTCTAAAACACATAACTATTAAGATGCACCTTTCAGTATTACATTGTATTGCTAGCTAGTCATCTAGGCAAAAAAATTCTGATGATCCTAGCCAAAAATTTAGATTTCTGCAGTGTTGTTTTGATAAAGAAATTATGAAAAAAATGAAATCCATGGGTTTTCAATTTTTAATGTGACCCATCATAGATTTTGTCACAAGCCTTGATACGTAAACATGACAGCACACCAGAAAACATTGAGAAATCTGAAGATTTGAGCTATCAAGACTGAAATTCATGTTCACTTTCAGCTTTGAACTGTCCACTCACTTTTTAAAATGTATCAGTATACAAAATTTAATGACTGGGTGATAATGTCTTTGATAGCCAAAACCAGCAGCAGCCAAGCCAGCAGAGCCTAGCCCCGCCCCTGCTGCTACAGCTCCTCCCCCCGCGGCTCCAGCCCCTGCTGCAACAGAAGCCCCAAAACCTGCAGAGGAGAAGAAAGAAGAGAAAAAAGAAACTACACAAAGGTATGCAGGATTTATTGATAGGACTGCTCTCAGGTTGTGTTTTGGGACATTTACAGAATCAAATGATCTTTTGTCAGATGTGGATGCTGATTTTTTTCCTCACTTCATGAATATTAACAGCACATTATTTAGCATATCAAAAAGGTCAAAATTTGCTGTTTACCAGTATATAAATTTGATTAGTGTATGCATTCTTTTTAAAAAAGCTGATTTAATGAATTCCTAAAATTCCTGAAACAGATATGAAATGTTAATGTCTCATAAAAGGCACATAATATGATGGGAAATTCCAGATTTATTTCTTTATTGCATATTGGACTAAAACTTTATGTCAAAGAAATGTTAATTTGGTTATTAGTGAGACAAAAACAGAAACTCCCTCTACCACAAGTACATCAACAGCTTCAACAGAGACCCAGAGTAGTTCAGCCCCTGGACCAGTGACGGCAGAAAGCATGCTGGTCACTGGTCAGGAGTATGAAAACATGGTAATGGAGATTATGTCCATGGGCTTTGAAAGAGATCAGGTAGTCCGAGCACTACGTGCCAGCTTTAACAACCCAAACAGAGCAGTGGAATATCTCTTTCAGGTAGAAGATTTTATAAAATGAAGTGTTAGATTACTGTATGTTTTTCTAGCCCATTTAAAATAAAATCTTTGATTGTATCTCATCAATAAGAATACATATATTTTAAAGTTTGTGTTGCTTACCGCTAATTACTTTCTCTGGTATTTTATATAAACACTGACATATGTCTGTCTTTAAAGGGGATTCCTGAGACTTCAGAACAAGAAGCCCCTGCCAGTGCTCCAGCAGCACCTGTAGCCCCAGCACCAGAACAGACTGCACAACAGACTCCCCCATCCTCAAACCCTCCAGGAAGTGGGTCATTAACAATGCCACCAGCAGGACAGACGGGAGGTTTGTACAAATGTCCAATGCTCAGAAGCTCAATAGAAACTTAAAGTTGATTTTTCAAGTAATCGATTAGATTCACAATGTACGTAAATAAGAACTTGTTTATTTCTACAGGAGAAGATCCCTTATCATTTTTAAGAACTCAACCACAGTTTCAGAGAATGAGACAGCTGATACAAGATAATCCCCAATTCTTACCAGAACTTCTTAGACAAATAGGACAGTCCAATCCTCCCTTATTACAGGTAAAATACCCTTAACACAGTCTGCTTGTTTCTCGATAAAAGTGAATATGGTCATGGCTGACAATTCTGGGCTGTATGTGGGGTAAAAATTGATATTTATGCCCCCCTTTGAAGAAGGGGGAGCATATTGCTTTGCTGCTGTCTGTCGGTCCATCAAGTTTCCGTTCATTTTCTTTGCAGAGTTGCACTTACTGAAATGAAATTTGGTATACAGATTTATTATAAGAATATCTAGGTCAAGTTCTGTTTTGGGTATGATCGAGCAATTTTTGACAGAGTTATGCCCATTGAACTTAAAAAATTCCAATTACTTCAATTTCTTCACAGAGGTTGCACATACTGAAATAAAATTTGGTATACTGATTTATTAGGTCACCTGAGTCACTCAGGTGACCTATTGCTATCTCCTTTTGTCCGTCGTCGTGCGTAAACTTTTCACATTTTCTACTTCTTCTCAAGAACCACTGGGCCAATTTCAACCAAACTTTCCACAAAGTATCCTTGGGTAATGGTGATTCAAGTTTGTTAAAATAAAGGGCCAAACTTTTTTTCAAGGGGAGATAACTAAGAATTACTCGGTAGTGAAAAATTAATGGCATCTTTTAAAAATCTTCTCAAGAACCACTGGGCCAAGAAAGATGAGGCTTATATGGAAAAATCCTCAGATAGTGTAGATTCAAGTTTGTTTAAATCATGATCCCCGGGGGTAGGGTGGGGCCACAATTGACAATCAAAGTTTTACATAGGAAAACATAGGAAAAGTCTTTAAAAATCTTCTTCTCCAGAACCACTGTGCCAAGAAAGATGAAACTTATGTGCAAACATCCTCAGGTAGTGAAGATTCAAGTTTGTTCAAATCATGACCCCCTGGGGTATGGCAGGGCCACAATGAATGATCAAAATTTTACATGGGAATACATTGGAAAAATCTTCTCCTCCAGAACCACTTGGCCAAGAAAGATGAAACTTATGTGGAAACATCTTCAGGTAGTGTAGATTCAAATTTGTTTTCAAAGATCATTTAAAAATTTTCTCAAAAACAACAAAACCATGATAATTTTGGTTGTAGCGTGTCATTTGATTGGATAAAAAATTTAATTTATATTGTATAACCTGGGTTTGTTTTAGCAGCTTTCAATTTATACTCTTTGGATCCTCTATGGATTGTTGTTTTATACTCTGGTGACCGTTAAGGCCCTTGGGCCTCTTCACATAAAAATAGCTAGGTCAAGTTCTGTTTTGGGTACGATCGAGTAATTTTTGGCAGAGTTCTGTCCCTTGGACAAAAAATTCCAATTATTTGGGGGGGGGGGGGGGGGGGGGGGGGCAGTAGTGTTTCACAAACATCTAATACTCTGCACAAAGGTACATGTACTACAAGCAGATTTTGAAAAGATCAGATAAATAGCAGATAAACAGAGAAGTGAAAAGAAGGTTTATACTTAATGAGGTAGCAATGTCTTTGAGTGTTATTCTTATTTCTTACAGATGATAAGTCAAAATCAGGAGCGGTTCATCCAGATGTTGAATGAACCCATGGAAGGGGGTGAGGTTTCAGATCAGGCACAGGGGGGTGGCCTCCCTCCTGGTGGCGCCCCTCCAGGAAGTGGTTACATTCAAGTTACACCATCCGAAAAAGAGGCTATAGAAAGGGTAATTTTATCAATTACTAACATACGCAGCACAGTTAAGGTGCCAAATGGAAATATCGGTGAAATTTTAAGATAGAATATACATTCTTTACAAGGATGGACATTTCTTTTTAGGACTTAACTATTATCGGACAAATGCAATGTGGTTGAAAACTAAATGTTGAGGACGATTAGATTTCTTATTAAGACTTGTCACGTGATTTTAGCAAATATACCTGAAGTATTGAGGTCATCTATAAATTCTAATATTGCAAGGGCATAACCAAGTTAAAAATCTACATTTAACATATAATTATTTGCAGCACTCTTTGTAGTTTGTGAAAAGTGCTGCGAACCTATATAGATTCTACTATCTAATTGCTAAAATTACATTTGTTAGACTGTATGTTGAATATTGTGCTGGTCAAGTACATTAAATAAAGATATAATTAATTCATTTGCATGATTTCAACAGGTTCGCAGCACTTTTCAAATATCTTCATACTTCTTGAGTTTATGTTTAAAAGTCTGTCATAATTCATTGAGGGTATGCCCTTGCAATATATTGATTTATTACGACCCCTCTATTACCATTCAATGAATCTGCATACAAATATACGACAGTATCACTTGTCTAGGGAATGTACGGGAAGTATACGAAAAAAATCATAAAACAGACATCGCATCCAAGTTAATGGCCTCTTATATATCTACAATTTATATTTTATTTAATTACAAAATACATTTTTCATTGTATAAATATAACTTGATCCACCTTTCACTGCATACAAACTGCGTCAAATTTTCTGATATGATGTCACATTGACAAGTTCATTGAGATTAGTGAATTGTCTATATATTGCTGTGTGGGATTTAACCAACGACAATAATGCATGCACTAGTTAGTATTGATGTAGTTTAAAGCTATTCATAAGTATAAAATAACAAATTTCATTTTGTGGTAATTTGGAGAACTTATATTTTTGTGTGATGTCATAGTAAGCATTTCCCGTATAAATTAGGCCCCGCCTCCTTACTGCAGCCTTAACTGTGCTGCGTAGAAAATATGTACCTGCTTGTGTAAAATAAGTGTATCATGCCACTGCCTCCCAGTATTCCGTCTTGAGGGGTTTCATTTTATTCGTGCAGTTAAAAAAAAAATCTATAAGCATATAACTTTGAATGGTGATTTATTGTATAAATAAAAACTTTACAGATGTAAAACATGATTGTGGAATGTAGATGCTAACTTGGACTATCTTCCTTTTCTTTTTCAGCTTAAAGCATTAGGATTTTCAGAAGGAATGTGCATACAGGCCTATTTTGCATGTGAAAAGAACGAAGATTTAGCGGCAAATTTTCTTTTATCTCAGAATTTTGATGATGATGATCAGCAGAGTTGATAAGTTTATAGAAAACTGAAATATGAATTGAAAACCCCGAGTTTGCAAGAATGACCTACAAACATGATCATTCAATGTTTTATCTTTATATGACCTAATTTCTCGATGGTTTTCAAAACTGACTTTTAAAATGTAGTTAATGTGAAAATATACAGTATATTCTATATTCAGTTGTGATTTAATCATAATTGTATAACTAATCTGCTCCAAGAGATATTGATATTCAAAAGTAACGAACAAATAATTTGTAGTGAATCATGTTTGTAAAACCTGCAAGGTGTATTTTCTTTACAAAGGCCTTATTGTTCCACGTTTTAAGTAAAAACTTGGTTTGCTAAATATTGTTCACTTGGCAGTGTACTGTAGTAATGAAGTGGAACCATTTTCACTGTTGGATGCATTAGAAATACAATTTTTTCTAAAACAACAGAGTTGGGTCTTTTCATTAAATATTCTTGTACGGGTTGTTTTTCTTTCATTCTTTTTTCAGAGTAAAACCTGTGTACAGCTATTCACATTTTCCTTATTAGAAGTCAGTTGCAATGATCTTAAATACTTTTGAAAGCTGAGTAGCTTTGTTATTACCAGCTATAATGTTTATGTATGTGAATTATTATTAAATGGATAAAACAGTATCATGTTCGTCTTATTTATATTCGTCTTTTATTAGTTGCAGAGCACAAGTACATGCCTTGAAGAATGATTCAACACCGAAAGCTAGTTTTGCTGATATACCGTATCGTGGAAACATTAGCAGGGTGATAACTTTGGCTTATTTTAGCTGTTTGGAAGTAACCTGCTAAAATTTTAATTGCTAAAGCACCCTTGAGTATTCCTACTGAATAAAAAGATAAAAAATTGATCAGTCTGTTATTAAACACCTATATTAATTACCTATCTGAAGTTGTATGTAAACCGGTATTCAAAAATACTGAAGACTCATCTTCACTTAGCAACCTGAGGCACTACTTTAAGCTTTGCCAAATTATGTCACTAGTTTGCAACTTCAAGAAACACTGTGTCTGCCAAAAACATTCCACCTTTATTTTGTACCTTTGAGCAAGCAAAAAGCCAAATTTTACAGCCACTACAGAAACCTGCTATAAAGTATGTTCCCAAGCCAATTATTTCATCTCTGTTTATATCTGCATTCTGTATGATGTTTAGAGTAAGTGACATTGCGTATTGTCTTGGTTAATAAAAAATATTTTTTCACCTTGCAAACTTTCATGTTGGATCTTAGTACACCTGCACTAACAGCTTGAATTTGAACAAATACTGTGGAATCATGGTTTATTGGGGACCAATGTTCATAGGTCTTCCTCACACATGAATTTACAGCTTCATGATTGATTGTCATGGTTATATGAATCTTTTCTATAAACTAGTCACCACCTCCAAAATTACATCCCATTATTAAAAGAAATATAAATCAAGAACTGAATTGATATGCATGCAAAAGGTCCCTGTTGACTTTAAAAGTCATTTTGGAGCCAAGCTGATATATTTGTGCGCATGCAGGGTCCACAATTTTGAATTTTAAGTGAGCATTTAGTGTTGAGTCACTGATGGATAATAAAAAGAACAAGTATGAAACCTAAACCACTAGCTTTTGTTCCCAAGAAAATCACCCAGATTAACACAGCATACTGATCATTGAAAAGGACCTTTTATAATTGATAGATACAAATTTAATTAATGTTGCCAAAAATTTCATCCGGAAGGTGAGGTGTCTGGATCATGGCATCCAGATTAACGAGTCTCCACTGTACTGACAAACCAATTGATACTGATGTACAGAAGTTACAATAATGTCTTTATTTCAATAAATTTGTAAGATATGTTGTACTTGTAAAAAATACTTTGCATATGAAAATGTACAAAAAATAACAAAATAAGATATATTTTTATTCTGTTTAATGACCCATGTAGGTTTATCAAATAGTTTATAAAAAACGGTTAATATATTTTTATTTCATTAAAGTTGTATTCCATAATCTTTCAGCCACTTCAACCCCTCCACTGTGTTTCCTGTAAAACAATACATTCCTGTATCAAATGTGTAATAAATATCTTATCTTCATTAATGAAGAGAGTCAAATGAATTAGAGACCATGAACTCCATGGTGCCATATTGAGCCAAGTTGCTGAGACTGAAGTTCTCACAATCAGCTTTAGATAATACAAATCTAAGTACTTTCCAAAGCAAACATACACAGTACCAATTAAAGTGTCTATCATTTTGCATTTGATGTAAAAACTCTGTGAGTGTATTATTACCTAAGTACAATGTATTTAAAAGTTATGTTTTTTTTTTTAATGCTCCTTTCCACTTACCTCTGGGTTTGTATTCAAGTCCTATATATCCATCATATTTTAACTTCTGTAGTAATTCAAACACATAGGGATAATTGATTTCTCCATGCTTATCTGGCTCTCCCCTATCTGGAACTTGAGCAATCTGTATATGACCTGAAGTAACAATGGTTCATCTTGAAGTTGAATTTAATAACTACAGGAATAGACCAAAGTAACACTTGGTCAAACTTAAAAAGATTTACAATATGAATACACATTTACATTTTTTAACGTCTTCATGTAGACAAGTACCATACATAAGAATTTCCACTTTCCTTAAGTTACCGCACAGGGATCAGAGGGAGAGACTGTACAAGAGGGAGTAACTTTCATAATGCTATCTTTAATTAATACAGTAACAATATATATGTGCAAGTGAATATTTAAGTGAAACTTTCCTTCTTGCAATTTTACTGTATAATCTACACATAAATTTCCATATCTATAGCAAAAGGTTTACATTGTCAAAAGAAGAGGATCTTTATATGCATAGCATATAAAATACTTTCTACTGATGGATTGGACTTGAACTTTCAAGTGTTGCTGACAAAAAGAGGTGACAACAAAGTAACATTTTGATAGAAGAAACCATTAAGTGTACCAAATAAACAAGGTGAAAAACCAAATTTTCCAATGCAAACACTTGCTCTTTACAAAATAAACAGCAATCATAACCTTTTGATGGTTTGACATAGCCATCTATGAAATCAAAATTTGTAACACTATACGTATAAGTCTGAAACCATTTTGCAATGCACAATGGAAAGATTTCTTATTTTTTTCTAAGTTCAAGAAGGACAACTGTCAAAAATCATCGGACCATGGCCAAATTCGAATTTGACCTGTATTTTCTGGTAAAATACCTGCACATGCAATTTGAACCTTATACATACATCCCTACAAAAGTTAGAGAGCAGAAACTGAAAAATTCTTATTTTTTTCTAAGTTCAAGAGGGATAACTCTGTCAAAAATCATCAGACCATGACCAAATTCGAATTTGACCTGTATTTTCTGGTAATCTTAACCTTATACATACATCCCAACAAAAGTCAGAGAGGAAAAACTTAAAATTTCTTATTTTTTTCTAAGTTCAAGAGGGACAACTGTCAAAAATCATTGGACCATGACCAAATTCGATCTTGACCTGCATATTCCTATGACATATCCATATGTCAAATTTGAGTTGAATGTGTGCAACTGTTCCATTCACCCAAGGATGCTTTGTGCCAAGTTTGATTGAAATTAGCCCAGTGGTTCTGAAGAAGAAGTCAATGTAAAAAGTTAACAGATAGACAGTGGTTCTGAAGAAGAAGTCAATGTAAAAAGTTAACAGATAGACAGATTTACGGACTGATGGATGAAATTGAATGGAAAACTGATCAGAAAAGCTCATGAGCCTTCAGCTCAGGTGAGCTAAAAGTACAGCTTACCAACATATGGCATATATTTTTCTAAGGTTTTAGTTAAGTTCCCTTCCATTATCTGCACATGAAAGAAATCCTGAAAAATAAAAAAAAATTGTAAGTACTAACTAGTATATTTCTACAACTTTATTCAAAATTTGACTTTCAAATTGTGGCTGGTATCATTACATGACAGCTTACATTTTGTCTGTTTTTGATATAAGTCTATTATAAATATGTCAATAAATATCATTTTACAACTTACAAACTGTAATTTCAAATTGGGTCTGTTGATTTTCTTGATTATTTCAACAGCTGCAAATAAAGAGAGAAATAAATCCATTTAGATCAATAGAGAGGCCCTTGACATTATAAACTTTTTTATCATAAAATTATATACCCCTTCCTAGAGTAAATTTGTGTTAAAAAAAACATAACGTGTAATGCCTGTGTCATATACCGATGATGCCTAACAAACAGAAAAAAGAAGTGTACTAATGGACTACCCCCTTATGAACTTACAAAAGGGCATACATATTTGAAAACAACTTTATAAAGTAGGTCAAACTCTAAGGTCAAGAGGTCAAATATATTGGTATCAAAAGAAATGTCTTGTCACAAGAAATACACATGTGAAATATAAAAGCCCTAGCACCAACTGTTCAAAAGAACATAGGCAAGGTTAAAGTTTTTGTGGACAAACAGACAGACAGACCAAAAACTATATGCCCCAAATCTTTTGATTACAGGAGCATAAAAATTCCATTGAAATTTTTTCAAAAGTTTAATTTTCCTAAAGTCCGATTTCAGTGAAACTTCTCACACAAAGAGACTAAACCAAGGATCATACTTCTATTTTAAATCATTGTTTTTGCCATGCTTTCAACTCCAAGTGCAAAAATGCACTTTTTTCTTCCTTTGTTGTAAGTACAAACCAGTAGAGTTATAAACTTATCAGAGACTTCTGCTTTAAGACATTACATGTACATACCCTTGTTAATATCTGTAAGGAAGTATCTGGGTGCTGTAATTCTACTGTTCAGAGGTTCTATTAAACAGGTTATTCCCTCCTGTAATTAAATATGTCAGGTAAATACTCAGAAATGTATCGATATATTCATTTCAAATTTTCAATACATTGTAAGGAAGGTGTTTTGTATGAACAAGAGAACGAGAGGGATTTTTTTTTTTGTAACTTACTGGTTCAAACCTCTTTGCTGCCAGTGTTATATTCTTTATAAAAGTTTTCTCCATTTCAGTTTCATCAAAATTGTTTGGTTTCATGCCCGCCATAACATGAATTCTGTGGAGTAAAGTTTAAATAAATGGATTATACAAGTTAAATTTGTCATGATTTATCAAAATTGTATTTTATAGATATTTACTGAAAATGATGTCTGTGTGACAAATTGTAATGAATTTTCATTCATCCGACATCATGGTCAATGGGAAAGAATACTGCTATGCTAAGACTTCTTATCCAAACTTGTATACCTTTTACATTTCAGTGCCTTTGCATATTCAATAGTCAAGTCTAGTTTGCTTTCAAATTCTTCCTCTCTGTCTGGAAGAGCAGCTATTCCAATATCACCTTTACTTAAATCACCTGAATAAAAAAGAAAAAGATGATAATGATCTTATAGATATCTATATCTCATGATTCAAAACTGTGCAACTTTAGTAGAAATGATTTTCTTTTGAATATATTTCTACATATTTACATTTACTAATATTAAGACAATGAAAAGTAATAATTAAAGTATCACTTTTAAATTTTTATCAGGATACAGATACAAGTTGGTTTGCATCTATCATAAAGCCCTTTCAGCTTTACGAGATTGATCATGTGACCAACCCATATTTATATCGCAATATATGTTGAAAAGTGAAAGAAATGTATTTCACATGTTTAAAAGTGATAGATAGATATTTCACTCGAATCATTCATATTCTGTATTGCTATCCATTTTCATCCATTGTTATGCATTGTTAGTCAGTCATAAACTTTTAAATACTCTCAGCTTATCTATAAAACAGGTCTGTCAATTTCAACTATTTCCTCCAGAAATGGATCCATGGTAGTTACTATGTGGTGATCTAGAGACAGACTCGCTCCCAGTGCAGTTTAGATTATTTTAACTACAAGCCGTCCACCAAAATTGTGGAATTCATGTCCCAAGTCTGAGACCACAATATAGGGCTTTAGAAGTTATTTAGAAGTTATATTGTGATGATACCATCTTTGATCATGGACATTAATTAAGCAAGCAAAATGTATGCATTGACAGTGAGCCTAGTTAGAATAATCTGTGTCTCAGGAAAAGCCCTCACCACAGTTAGAATATGTCCTATATAGGTGCAATTAAGCAAAATGGAGTACATCCACTCCAACACAATTTCAGAGAATTCAAAAGAAATTGCACTGAAAATTATCACCAATCATAAGAAACCTTTCTGAGATTGCGTATGCCTTTAACACCCCCCCCCCCCCCCCCCAATCCAAATATAAAGAAAACAAAAAAATCAACACATTTCTCTATGTTTTTTTAGCTCACCTGAGCCAAAGGCCCAAGTCAGTTTTTTTCTGATAGAACATTGTCTGGCATCTATCTATCGTCTGTGAACTATTCACATTTTCAAGTTCTCCAGAACAACTCAGTCAATTTCAACCAAACTTGCCATGAAGTATCCATGCGTAAAAGGGATTTAGATTTGCTCATATGAAGAGCCACACCCTTTTTCAAGGGGAGATCATTCAGAAGTAGGGAAAAGTTGGTAACTTTATTTAAAAATCTTCTCAAGCATTTTGCCAGAAAAGACAAAACTTACATGAATGCCTCTTTATGCAGTGTAGAATCTAATTTCTTTATTTTTAGTATGATGGGATCAAAATTTAAAACAGGTATATATAGGAATACACCTTTTAAAGTCTTCTCATGAACAGGCGGGTCATTAGTGATATTTATATACAAGCTTCCTCAGGTTGTGCAGATTCAAGTTTGTTCAAATCATGGTCTCCATGGGAAAAAAGTATTAAAAACATTCTTCTCAAGAACAGTCTGGCCATGATAAGTGATCATATTATGCAACCATTTTCTGGTAGTACATATTCATATTTTTTGAAATCATTGCCCCCAGGATGGGGCCACAATAAGGAATCAAAGTTTTACAGAGGAATATAAAGGAAAAAAAAATTAAAAATCTTCTCAACAGCAAAACCATGATAAATGATACTGATATACAAGCAATCTTCGGTAGTGCAGATTCAAGTTTGTTCAAATCATGGCCCCAGAGGGTAGGATGGACAACAATATGATGTTAGGAATGGATTCATAATAAGGTTTACTAATTGCTGATTTTCAGAAACTTATGGGGGCTTCACCCCTAAACCCCTCACAGAACACTGTCCTTGACCTGCTTGGGACCTTGGCAGTACCGAAATTCTTTGCCATTTTATGGCAACCTCTCTATTACAAAATCCTGGATCCGCGCTAGATCATATATATGTGTAGGAAAATAGTGGGCAAAAAACTCAAGGAAAGCAGGGCCAAAGTGAGTGAGCCCATTATGAAATTGTGAAGTTTATTTTCCCCAGGGCCCACCCCAAGAGTGGGTTCAGCTGATCATACATCGAAAATGTATCTCTTTTCATTTTATACTTCTGTCAAACCATCAGACTTCAGTGAATGCCTATGAACCATCAGACTTTGGTGCATCAAACTTTCAGGTTTAGCGTGGACCACTGGACTTCGCCGTTACCATCATTCTTTGGAGTCCAAACTAAATTTTTGGAGTTTGACATATGTAAAATGTATCTTTGCCATTACCATCAGACTTTTTGGAGTCTGACATATGTAACATGTATCTCTGCTGTTACCATCAGACTTTGGAGTCCCAACAAACTTTTTGGAGTCTGATATATGCAATATGTATCAGGTCCAGTCCAGAGACTATATCTACCTAAGAAGCTATTAATAACTACCTAGGTATTTAAACTTACTTGAAGTAGCTACTTCTACCTACTTTTACCTGTGTTTGAAAATAAAATTAGATAATAATTAATGCACATCTTTAAAACAGGTCAAACTTGTTGTTTATCATCTTGTGCACTTGCACAGCAAAATTCAGGATGTTAATTTGAAAACTTTATGAGAGTGGAGAATGGAGAGGAAATGCATGAAAATCATCCCAAAAACATTTGAAGTTTTAAAATTGATACAGATTTGTAAGACATTTTTGACTTAGTTTTGACCCTTAGCTACCAGAAAATGAAACTGGATGCAGTTTTGATGCAAATTTGATATGTTAGTGTGGCGGTCAGACGGGTTCGACCGCCGGTGGCCAGATAGCTCAGTTGGTACAGCACCTGACTGGAGATTCAGGGGGCCCGGTTCGAATCCCGGTCTGGTCCGCTGCATTTTTCTCCTCTCCCATTACATTTGGTGCCGTGCCATGCCCTGGAAGTGACAGGTGAAAGACCTGCCAGGGAAGAGCCTGGGTTGGTGTCTTCGGGGGCCGAAGACCTTTAAGGAGGGAGGAATGTGGCGGTCAGACGGGTTCGACCGCCGGTGGCCAGATAGCTCAGTTGATAGAGCACCTGACTGGAGATTCAGGGGGCCCGGGTTCGAATCCCGGTCTGGTCTGCTGCATTTTTCTCCTCTCCCGTTACATTAGAAAGTAAACATTTTTTGGCCAAAATTCTTTTCCTATATTGTGGAGTACCTGCAGATGACATGTTCATTTTATACTTATATAATAGTGTTGTACTTTGCATGCACTATGCCAAAATAGTAGTCAGGGTTTGACACACGATGCACTAGCTGGATTTTTTATTTATTCATCGACAGTGTGACTGTATTAAGAAATTTAGTACTCATCATATTGCCCCGTTCCAGCATTTGGCCACGAGCAGCAAATAAAGCAAAAATTAGCTAAAAATAGCTACTTGGAATAGGTTTAAATACCTAGGTAGTTATAAGTAGCTACGTAGGTAGAAATAGTTTAGACTGGACCTTAGTCATGCAGTGTTAGTATCTATTCTTGGAAGAGCACTATGTACTTTGAGATTTTGAGCTCAAACGTATCTATATATTACCAGGCCATGCATTAATCAAAACTTGCTCGAGACCCGATTTTTCTTTGGCATTCTTAACAGATTCCAATGGTTCCAAGTAGGGAAAGGCACTCTCCACATATTTAAATCCTGCGGTTTTTGCAGCATCATATCTCTCAACCATGGATGGCAACTCGCAGAACATGCAAGCAATATTTGCTGAAAACTTTAGCGACATGTTGTCAGAGCTGAAATGTCGCGTGCACACACTATAAAGTTTTCTCAGAAGGGTGGATTTTGCAACCATTTGTTTGCTTACAAGAAAGGTCAAGCTAATAGCCGATTTAAATGGAAAGAGAATATTTTGAGGTTTAGAGAAAAACATGCAATTTTGCAGCATGTTTATTTAGATTTAGAGTATGAATATCACTTAATGGATGTGTTTAGAAATAATTGTATAAATATTTTTGAAACGTTAATAGAAAATGACATTATTGTTCTTATTGAACTGAAAGAGCAAATGACATATTCTGTCCAGTTATATGCAGATTTATATGTATATATTTTCTTTTAAATTTATTTTGATATTAGTCCAACTAATATTCATTACATTGATTTTACTTTTAAGTGACTACACACTTTTATATGTCTACTAATCATTTCCTTTTTTTAGTCACAGTATATATGGATATTAATGCGCAAGATACTTACATTTCGTCTTAATGATCAGAACTTAATTTCTTGATATCAGAGCATTTTTTCTTCAATATTTTGATAACTATTTAATTTTAATAACTTTTAAATGATTCAAATCATTTGTTTTTATGAAAATATGTTTTTCTGCGCTACACCTTGCGCAATGTTACATTGTTTACGGAAGAAGTAAGTTGGCGTTCACACGTGAAAATGTAGATTGTAATATTTTTATTTTTTGACATGACTCACCGTCTTAGAATTTTTTGATTCAATTGTTATTTATCATCGTATTGAAAGATAAGGTATGTAACATCACATGACTGTAGGATGACATGAAGGCGATAATTATTTCGAATTTCCTCTGTTGCTTTCTGATATTTACTTTGTATCCTTCTCCAAATAAATCAAAGAAAGAAGGTTAAATTCGTTCTTATCTAAATTGAAATGCTACTGATATATCTTACTGATCAGCTGCTAATAGATCGTGTAGGTATCGGCCAATCGGGTCCATTTGCCCTGTCTACTATTCTTTTTAGAGAAGTGGACAGGTTTTCGCCTACATCCAGTAGGCGAAAGGCTTTCGCCTACTAGTGGCGAACCCAGCAGTTCATGGGGGGGGGGGGGTGAGGCCCGTAGGGCCGAAGGGGGAGGGCATGGGATTTTCCAGCATTTTAGATTGAATTAGTTAGTTTTTGGTCACTTTTTTTCTATTTGTTTTTTAAGACCAACCTATCCAAATTTTCAAGAATTTGAACAAAAAAATTGAAATTTTGGGATTATTTTTAATTTCCATGTAAACATGAAATGAGACTTTTCTAAAAAAAAAAAATAAATGTAAAATCTGATAAAATAAGAAATATTGCCATTTGATATATAATATCAAATTCTTCATTTTAAAATGCACGTCCAATGTGTTGCATGCGAAGCTCTGTGACTACCAAATTATACAATTGATGTGCAATTTTCCAGCACTTAGAAAATTTGGATTCTTTACAAGTGTAGAAACCCTAATTACTCTTTCAACTACTTTACTATACTGTTCATATAATTTGCAATATAAACAAATAATGATACTTCATATTGAAGAATAAATATAAATTACTTTGGGAAATTGATGGATTTATTGCTTATTCATTGGGGGCAGGGTGGGGTGGGGGGTTAATTATAATTTGTAACATAAATGCACTCTTTAATTCTATTTTTTTTAACCCACTTACCAGTCCAATGTTTGAAGAAAGAAAAGTCTTGAAAAACGATAATAATAAATAAACAAGAGGCCCATGGGCCACATCGCTCACCTGAGTAACTTTGGCCATGCTGTTCATTACCAGACTCCCCCCTTGTAATACCTATTGTGGCCCCACCCTCCCCCCAGGGGCCATGATTTGAACAATTTAGAATCTACACTACCCCAGGATGCTTCCACATAAGTTTCAGTTTTTCTGGTCCAGTGG